TTGCCATCTAATGTTTACAAAGACTAGCTGGAATTAGCTTCTGTCCACTATTAGGACAATTAAGAGCCAGTTCTTTATTTTTCTATTTTTTAAGGCTTAAATTTGACATAGTGGTCTCCCAGTTTGAAAAAACAAATGTGCCATTTAAAATAAAAGCCTAAGAATATTTAAAAGAAGTGGGACATAAATAATGTGTATAACTAGTTGGCATTTTAAAAAGTAATAATTGTGAGTAGAGTAGAAAAAGAACAAAAGACAACCTTATTTTTGTAAAGTTATTTTTTTCCTGTTATAGAAGTGGGCTCAGATGTCTCACACAAAAACGGTGAGAGCTGGAGGGAGTTAATCCAAAAGATAGTCAGAAGCAGTAACCTCTGCTAAATGTAATTGTTACCTGACCTCATAAACAAGGATACACTGATCCTAATGTCATTGACTTGATTGATTTTCAATAGGGCAAATACAAACAGGGAAGACTGATGCTCTGATTTTTCTAATTAACTCAGATAATTCCATCAACCTGATGGGCAGAGCTTGCTTACCTGAGAAATTATCTGATAATTAAGATGCACAGACTGTCCTCTAAGAAACCTAATTCAAAGCACTGTGCTTCCAATGCTAGGATTTTTACTTAAGTGAATGCTAGCCCTGTTCCAGCTCCACCAAAGGAAACATGTAGATTGAAATGGTTACATTTTGGCTTTCCACTGACAAAATTGGAAGTATTAATGCTACTTTGTTCACAATTTCCGCTTACTGATTTGTGTAACTAATAATTATTAATGACATGAATTAACATTATTAGGATCTGAAAAATGTAACATTAGATTTTATTTGCCCATATCCTTTCTGATAGACATGGAGGATTAAACTGTGTTTGAAAAAAAAAAAAGCAGAATCTGAATATCGAGTATAATCTGTACATTTTTAAACTACTTTATTATGTCAGTAGGAGTTCTTTTTGCTAGTCTCTCAAATACAGGTTTTGCTTAAAGGAATACATGCCTTATGCCAACATACCAGTCTTTTGGGGAATTAGGAATGCAGAATATCCCTTTTTGTACCTTCACAACTAACACATTTGTTGAGAATTAAAAGGGCCAGGCTTTGACATTTTCCAGCTTGTTATCTATTTAATTTTCCATCTGCTTCTTTTGCCACTGCCTTCCAAAGGAACATCTGCTGCATATCTGAGAAAAGGGAAGTTTGGATCTGTGCCACCCGGGTCTGCAGTCCAAAACCTTGAGATCCAGAATAAGGGAAGGGAAGGAGACTAACAAATGGTCCAGGAAATAAAATGAGGACAAACAGTCTGTTAAGAACAAAGCTGTATTTCTCTTTATTGAGGAGCCCACATGACTGGGCAAGCTGGGTGGCAACATCTACAACCAGCAAGTGCTGGATGCATAGGGAGGCAGCTGGTGACTGGCCAGTGGCAAGAGCACTTCTCAGAGTTTGGACACTTCCTCTGGTGCCTGACTCTCCATGTGGGACCCGATTTCTCAGACATTCATTAAGCATTTATGGGGCAGCTTTGTTCTAAGTACTCTGGAGGCAGAGATGAATAAGATATAATCCCTATGCTTAAAAGAATTAGCCTAAGATGGGAAAGATAGATAAGTGAACAACAGGTCACAATATCACAGTGAAAAATTCTGTATTCTAGGTAAGGAAGAAATGTCACAGAAATACATAAAGGGGAAAGATGCATTCCTAATCTTGTAAAAAGAAGTGGTGGTTCAAGGAGTGGAATGTCTATACAGAGACAGTGCTACAAACTGAGTGGAAGGAATATTAGAAAACAAGTTATTTTTTTCTTCCTACCACTGAGGGGTAGTATAAAACAGCAAACCTTCATTATTGACTCAGAAAATGTAATCTCCCAAACCTTAAACCCACCCACCACCCCTCTCAATGTCAAGGCATCAACATTTATATCAAAAGTATCAACCAAATGGGTCGTGCCACTTTTAAATGTTATCTACAGAGTCAGTAGTAAGGTTAGCAAACTTTTATCAGAGTGAGGTAAGAGGTCAGCCTAATAATAACTTTCTGATTTGCTATGGTGGAGCAATAATGGAGTGGCCAGTTGTCTGACTTAAACTTTTCTTAATTATCTAACTTTAAAAACATAAAAATATTTACATGTAAGATCACCATACCAAATGCAATAAATTCTTAGAGTTAGGAGTGTACCTGCAAAACAATCAGGTATGAACGAACATCTACTCTACCATAAGGGATACAGAAATAAAAGACATGACCTTTCTGTCAAAGAAGCTGAAACCTAATTGCAATGACTGAAGCGTTTAAAATGGCTAACTATAATTTTTTGAATCTCTTTTCTATAATACTAACATGACAAATATTTAACATTTAAATGAGAAAAGAATAAGGCCAATGTTATGCTTTATTGTTCAGTAAATGTATGCTTCCTTCATTTTTTAATGTCTACAAATAAGTATAAAACTTTTTATCATTTGACTTATATTATAAATCAAATTAATATACACTGAGATGCAAAAATAATTGGCTTAATCCTTGACTTTGCAATTATATTTTGTCTTAATTTTAATAAATTTTATTTTTAAAATATGCATTGGCAGTATGGAAATAACTGGGAAAAGACTCAAACACACCTTTTTTTCTATCATCAGATTTTCTTTCAGCTTCAAAGAAAAGCCTTCCTCAATTTTAAAAACTCATTCAGAGAGAATTTTTGAAGTTTTTTTTTTAAACCAATAAAGAGCAAGTTATGGAATCAAATTAAATATTTGGAATATTTTAGCTTGATTTAACTCACCCAAAATTCTTAGGATTATTATAAGCTTGTAATGTTTTATGGTTAGTTTCTTAAATGGAGTTTAAAGACATTGAAATTTTTAATTTTTAAATAGGACTATTTCGTATGGTAGATGTATTAGTCAGGGTTCTCTAGAGGGACAGAACTAATAGGATAGATACTTACATGAAGGGAGTTTATTAAGGAGAATTGATTCACACCACACGATCACTCAGTAAAGTCCCACATAGGCCGTCTGCAAGTTGAGGAGCAAGGAAGCCAGTGGTGGATTAGTCTGAGTCCCAAAACTTCAAAAGTAGGGAAGCCAACAATCCAGCCTTCAGTCTGTGGCCTAAGGCCCCACAGCTCCTGGCAAACTCTTGATTTAAGTCCAAGAGTCCAAAAGCTGAAGAACTTGGAGTCTAATGTTGAAGGGCAGGAAGCATCCAGCACAGGAGAAAGATGAAGGCCAAAAGATGCAGCATGTCTGCTCTTCCATCTTCTTCTGCCTGCTTTGTTCTAGCCATGCTGGCAGCTGATTAGGTGATGCCCACCCAGATTGAGGGTGGGTCTCTCTCTCATAGTCCACTGACTCAAATGTTAATCTCCTTTGGCAGCACCCTCACAGACACACCCAGGGACAATACTGTGCATCCTTCAATCCAATCAAGTTAACACTCAGTATTAATTCACCTGTAATGAATGGGTTTAAAAAGAGGCTGATGATTGAAACCTTTTACTATTTCAAATTGAGAAAGAAATGAGGTTTTCTATGCTATTACCTTATTCTTCTATTAAAAAACATCCAAAGTAAATTATATCAGGAGGCCATAGTCCAATACTTCCTAAATTAAAGTTGATAGAAGCACAGAATATTTTTGAGTTGGAATGTACACCAGAGTTGCTTAGTGATTTGTAAGTGGGAAAGCTGAGAACCAGGAAGGTTAGATACCTAACTCTTATTTGTCTGGGTTTATAACTATGCCCTAATCTTCTTTAGAACATCATGATTTGTAGTATTATCTTATCACCATCAGTCCTTTGGTGTTTTGTGTTTTCTGTCATAAAAAAAATTTTCGTTTAGGGACAGAGGCAAATTTTTTCCTTGGCTGAACTTGAATATACCATCCCACTCAAAACTCTAGAAAATCAGATTTGACCAGCTGGTCACAGTACCTGAAAGAGTGGCCCTGTCATCATCTTATTCCACACTAACCTGGTTTTCTTTGTTGATTCTCCCTGAGACTTTAAAACAGGTGTCCCCAAACTACAGCCTGGCCCGTGGGCCACATGCGGCCCCCTGAGGCCATTTATCCGGCCCCTTGCCGCACTTCAGGAAGGGGCACCTCTTTCATTGGTGGTCAGTGAGAGGAGCACAGTATGTGGCGGCCCTCCAACTGTCTGAGGAACAGTGAACTGGCCCCATGTGTAAAAAGTTTGGGGACGCCTGCTTTAAAAAATAAGCACAGCAGGTGGCACCATTCACAGCTCACCCATGTACCTTGAGTAAGCTTGGCAAGTACACTTACTAAGTCTGCAGTGACCTCTGTGTAGACCTGGGGGCTGATTCAGCGAATGCTGCTTTTGTGGCTCAGGTGTTGTCCTAGAAGTTAGTTATCAATAACCCTTAGGTAAAGTTGCTGAGGGACAGACATAAGCAGATTTAGTAAACTGTTTAAATATTCCAAGCCTAACACTTTCTGAATTTTAAATAACTACACATAATTTTCTTTGTCTTCAGCATAATACGGATCAAGCATAATAAATAAATCAAGAGTGAATTAAGCCAATTGCTGAAACGTGGCTGTACTTTGTTGGTTATAGAGAAAATATATGATGGCATGGTCAACATTCAAATGAAACATAGAACAAACCCTGAGTCGGTCACATTCTGATCTTTTTTTTCCCCCAGATATTTATTTTTTCTTTTCTACAGATGTCTATTTTGCAACTCTGCTGGCTTTGCTCTTTTTCTTAATCTTGAGGCGAGTACAATGGGAGGTGAGATACTCCAGTCATTTCTGCCCCTTTTTTATTCATCTCCTGGTGGGTGAATGAGAGCTATGCTGTAGCTCCCAGGGCTCAACAGATCTTTTCTCCTCTCTTCACCCTTCCTCTCTAGGATCAATCTGGGATTGATGGATACATGGTAAAAAAGACATTCCTGGGTATTTTTTTTCTACTATACTTCTAATTGCATTTGTTTTGTCACCCTTAGGACTACCAGGAAGCCTCCAATTTGGAACAATTTGTAACTCGATTTTTATTGAAGGAGACCCTGAATCAGCTGCAGTCTCTCCAGAATTCCCTGGAATGTGCCATGGAAACTACTGAGGAGCAAACACGTCAAGAAAGGCAACTTAAACGTTTTCATCTGATGTCTGTTTAGTGACTCTATGTTCATGAAAAAACAATTGAGAGGCATTGCACTTACACCACTGAAAAGTAAAAATGAGAATTGATACATTTTAAAAGAATGACAGTGACCTCCACTGGTTGCTTACCTTATTATTTGCCTCTAAAAAGATCATTCCATTTTTTTTCTTTTACTGTCAGTCATTTAGTCAACTTTATTTATTTATTTAGAGATGGAGTCTCACTCTGTCGCCCAGACTGGAGTGCAGTGGCATGATCTTGGCTCACTGTAAGCTCTGCCTCCCCAGTTCAAGTGATTCTTGTGTTTAGGCCTCCTGATTAGCTGGGATTACAGGTATAGGCCACCAGGCCCAGCTACTTTATTGTATTTTTTAGTAGATACAGGGTTTCACTGTGTTGGCCAGGCTGGTCTTAAATTCCCAACCTCAGGTGATCCTGCCTCTACCTCCCAAAGTGCTGGGATTATAGGTGTGAGCCACCAAGTCTGGACTAGTCAACAAATTTTAATAGCAAATTCAGTTTATGGCGAAGACTTTAAAAGAGTATGAATAATATAAAGATACATCTAACATAATGTGAATCCTTAAGGAGGACTATGTCTGTTATATAACTAAAAAACTATGCTGCAAGGAACAAAGTGATAATAAATACCATAGAGAAGAGGAAATATATTGCCAATGGTTTTCAGAATAGTAAAAGATTAAATATGGATAGAGGGATGGAAGGATGAGAAGTTAATTTTGTGGAGTTTCTCTGTTTAAGCTTGCCTTGCAAAATCAAGAGATCAGTGCAAAAGCCTGATGGGAAGACAAGACTTGAATTGGACATTTAGGTTGAATTTGAATGGCAGAATGAGAGTCTCTCTAGTGGGATCCGTCTCACCCACCTTCTGTTACCCACCTCTCATCTGGCTGACTTCTCCTTGGTTGCCTGGTCACTGATTGGACAGTACTTTCTCTGGGAAGCTTTCACTGCTCATTCATACCTCCCACTTCCCTACCATGTATTTCCACAGTGCCCTCTATTTAGATCTACTTATCTTAGCCCCTTCATTGTTAATTTATTATAGTTTGAAAATGTGGAAATGATGGGAAAGTTCCTTACAGACTACATGAACCTGGATACACTGGGGAGACCTGAGAATTCAGTAAGCCTAATTATTTCAGGAAATGGAGAAAAGTGAATGATGGGAATTATTTCAAAATTCAGTGCCACCATATGTATCACTGAGAAAACAAGTGGTCATATTGCAATAGCTATATAAATAAAAGCATGAATGCTTAAGAGAAACCTAACTAAAAATGTTTAAGGAAGACATCAAAGTAATCCCAGCCAACAATTATTTTTCTGAGTTGTCATTGCTTATACCGTGCAAGCTAGAGAAGCTTGCAAAACTCTTGCTCCTGGGGTATATTTTGGCTGATGCATTACTTTAAACTTATAGACATGCTTTATCTAACTTTTACATCTTAAATTACAGAGAAGCAAATAGTAAGTTTTCAGAACAGGCTGATATGAGACTACCCCATAGGACCAGTTTTTCTGAACAAATTAACTGATACATAATTATTAGGACATCTCCAAAATACTGGAATTTTCAACCATGTTTACAATGTCAAAATGAGTGTGCACCACCAAAGTCTAACAAAAAAGCCTGTAATTCCAGGATCTAATGAGCCCATGCAGCTGATAAACACAGGGAAGTACTCTTCAATGGATCTGTGAAGCATTCTTTACATCATAAACGTCATATTTTCACTGCATTGGGTGATTCCATATCAAATGGCAAAGTATAACAATTCACTTTAGAAAAGCAAACTGATCTTTTTAGCTTTGAGCAGAGGATAACTGAATGTCTTGAAGCACAATGAAATTGATTTAACGTTCCTAATGAGAAAAATAAGGCGTCCTGTATTGTTTCTTTTGTTTAGACTTTCTGGAAATAAAATGGGAACTCCCTTTTTAGAATCAGTCATCTGCCACCTGAGAAGAGGCTTGAAGAAATGCTCTGATCCCCTTCTTCACCTGCACTTTTGTTTTTTTCCTGCAGTCATCCCCTGCAAACTGTGCTCTGCGTTTACCACCATGCAGTGAATGTTTAATGAACAGCTGTTCTTTGTGTTAGGCCACAGGCTAGCCCTGAATTCTTGTGGCTGCTTCCAGCAGCTGCCTAGCAGCTGTGCTTAATGAGAAGGAGCATGACAATACAGACTTTAAGGAAAGCAGAAGACACTAGAGGATTAATGAACCTTTTACTTCTGGATTTCTCACTCAAAAACAGCTTGAAATAAGGGGAAATGTTACACGTATGACTGCAGTTTAAGGGATGCTATTGTATGGCATTTGACTAAGGCACCCAGGAATGACCAAATCCCACCCCAAATCTGGGATACTCTCTCTGAGAGGTTTCTAAAGAAATGCATAAACAACCAAGCAGAAAATAAGGTATCAGACTGGGCCTGGTGGCTCATGCCCGTAATCCCAGGACTTTGAGAGGCTGAGGTGGGCGGATCAGCTGAGGTCAGGAGTTCGAATCCAACCTGACCAACATCGAGAAATCCTGTCTCTACTAAAAAATACAAAATTAGCCAGGTGTGGTGGCGCATGCCTGTAATCTCTGCTACTCCAGAGACTGAGGCAAATCACTTGAACCCAGGAGGCAGAGGTTGCGGTGAGCCGAGATGGTGCCATTGCACTCCAACCTTGGAAACAAGAGGGAAACTTTGACTCAAAAAAAAAAAAAAAAAAAAGAAAAGAAAAAAGGTGCCACTATGGATTTATGCCCATAACATCTGATGAACCAGACTTAACATGTGAATTAGGCCCAAACCTAAAGGGGCTCTGTCTCCTCTCCAAACACTATTATTAGCTGGCCACCAAAAGTGAGGAGACCCTGGGACCTTCACCAGTGCTCTCCTCACTTTTGGTGGAGGAGAGGAAAAATAGAAAGGAAAACTATATATTTCCTGTGAGGTCAATCAAGAAACCACTGAAAAAGCCTGATCAGAAGATAAGACTTGAATTGGACCTTTAGGATGAATTTGAATGGCAGAAAGAGATTCTCTCTAGAGGGATCTGTCCTACCCACCTCGTGTTACCCATATCTATCTGGCTCACTTCTCCTTGTCTGTTTGGTCATTGATTAGACAGTACTTGCTCTGGGAAGCCTCACTGCACATTTATATTTCCCACTTCACTACCATGTATTCTCATAGTAGTATTTATATCTACTTATCTCAGCCCCTTCCTTGTTTATCTCCTTCACTAGACTTCGAGTTTTTAGATAGTAGAGACTTTGCATAAATCCCCTCTACTTTCTCCAACTGCATGGTAAACATATGAAGTGAATGAATGAAAGGAATTCTAGGTGAAAAGACAGCTACAGAGGAGCAGTTGGTGAGGATGTAGGACAGTGAGGAAAGCAGTCTAACAGGCATCTGGGGTTCAGAAAGATCTTAAAAGCTAGATAGATGCATTCAGATTTAATTCTGTCAGAGAATGTCATTGGCAGTTGTAAACAAAAGAACATAATGAAAACAATATTCAAGAAAAATCCATCTAACAATAGTATGTGGTACAGATTTGAGGAATAAGAGCAGGCTCAGTGAGGATGGGTCAAATCAGTGTATCCAAAAATTCATTAGTTCTTTGTTTGCTTTAAGATGAAGTCTTACTCTGTTGCCCAGGCTGCAGTGCAGTCGCGCGATCTCAGTTCACTACAACTTCCGCCTCCTGGGTTCAAGCAATTCTCCTGTCTCAGCCTCCAGAGTAGCTGGGACTATATGCACCCACCACCATAACCAGCTAATTTTTGTATTTTTAGTAGAAACGGGGTTTCACCGTATTGGGCAGGCTGGTCTCGAACTTCTGATCTCAGGTGATCCACCCACCTCGGCCTCCCAAAGTGCTGGGATTACAGGTGTGAGTCACTGCATACAGCTAATCCATCAGTTTTTTATGTCATATAGGAAGATTTTATGATGTCTATCACAGTGAAGAGTTGCAGCCTGCAGGCCAGGCATGGTGGCTCATGACTGTAATACCTACACTTTGGGAGGCTGAGAAGGGTGGATCAGTTGAGGTCAAGAGTTCAAGACCAGCCTGACCAACATGATGAAACCCTGTTTCTACTGAAAATACTAAAAATTAGCCAGGCATGGTGACAGGTGCCTGTAATCCCACCTACTGAGTAGGCTGAGGCAGGAGAATTGCTTGAACCCAGGAGGTAGAGGTTGCAGTGAGCTGAGATCGTGCCACTGCATTCTAGCCTGGGCAACAAGAGCAAAACTCCATAACAAAACAAAACAAAACAAAAAAGAGTTGCAACATGCAGATATCATTAAAATCTCCAGAACTGTGATAATTTGCTTTTTCTTCAGCATCAATATTACTTTGGGATTTAATATTTGTGAAACCTAGGGATATAAAGACTCCTTAGAATATAGCAAATTTAGGGAAGTCATCTATTCCATCCAACAGCCCCAGGGCAGAATCAGAGAGTATCATTCATCCTGCAGTGATGAGTTAGACATGCCATGTTGGGCAAAATGTCTGTGTCTATTCATGTGAAATTGGTTATTTGAGAGAGATGTGTACAGCTGGAATGCCACGGAGGGGAAATTTTCAGATAGCATTCTACAACAGTCTTTGTATCTGCCCTGGCAAACTGATTTAATGTGAATTATATTAATTCCATGTCTTCAGAAAGTACCTAATAGCTAATGGAAAGAATAATAATCATGTCATATGGAAGTTTCCTCCTAGAGGTTCCCTTTTTTCCTTACATAAACCTCTATTCCTCACAAACTAAAATTCTGGGAACACAGTTTTCATTATATGTGGATTTCCTTTTTATAATGGAATCGGCAAGTTTGCTCTATTTTCCAAAGTTCTTCTATACTCAGGGATGTAATTAACTCCTTCTTGACTTGAAAGTTATTTTTCTCCTTTTGATGGTTGTCTATTATAGAAGGAAGAGCTTTGATTTCACATATAGGTGGTTATAAAAGTTTAGACACCTTACATTTCCTTAGCTTGAACATACAGAAGGATTGCTCCAATCATCTACTCCCCTGACCACCAAATGTGCTAAAATCTTGGATTTTTTATTTTTTTTTGAAACGGAGTCTCACTCTGTTCCCAAGGCTGGAGTGCTCACTGCAACCTCCACTCACTGCAACCTCCGCCTCCCAGGTTCAAGCGATGCTCCTGCCTCAACCTCCCAAGTAGCAAGAATTACAAGCACCTGCCACCACACCCAGCTCATTTTTGTATTTTTAGTAGAGACAGGGTTTCACCATGTTGGCCAAGTTGGTCTTGAACACCTGACCTCAGATGATCTGCCTGCCTCAGCCTCTCAAATTGCTGGGATTACAGGTGTGAGCCACCATGGCCAGTCCAAAACTTAAATTTTTTTTATACCATAGAAAAATTCATAGGAAGATTTAGTTAAAGATTGAAGATTAAACATACATGATTTCTTTTGCTCTCTCCCTAAACCCTTTAAAAATGACATTAAAAGTACATATGATTTCTTTTGCTCTCTCTCTAAACTCTTCGAAAAATGACATTAAAAGTACCTAGACAAAAGGAGGCATTAACCTACAAAAATAAGAATAAAAGAAGAGCCAAAGGGACAGAAACTTGGAACCTGGAGAGAAGGTGACTCTAGTGGAAGTTGATTTAAAAGCTCTGAGAAAGCTGAAACTGAAGCAGGCAATGTAAGAAGCCAAGATGTGATATATTTGTTATCACAAAACCTCAGAAAAGCTCCAGACTTGGCTGTACCATGGGGAACTGATAATGAGGGTGAAGGTAAGGCTGATATATTGTTGGAAGCTCCACCCAGTGTTATATAGTGATGGCTCCTATATAGTGAAGAACCCCAGAGATAAGCTCTCTGGAGAAGGTGAGCAGATGTATACCTGGCACAAATGATAGGGTACAATACTAACAAAGGAGACACAAAGTTAAGGTCTCCATGTTGAAGAGTGAGATGCGAAATCCCCTTCATATATTGTACTTCCAGAGTACTAACAATGAAGCTCACATCCCCCCCTCCCCCCACCCAGTTGGGGCATGCTTCGTTGAGGGATCTGATTAATCCCAGAGAAAAGACTTAATGCCAATAGTCAGGGTACCCTGAAGAACAGGCCCAGCCACGCCACTATACAGTGAAGACTGCAAGCTGGCAATCCCTGACACACACACACACACAGAGATTCCAGTCAGCCTCGTAGTTCCTCCTCCTAAAATGTGTGAAGTCAACCAAAAGGACAAATCAAACACAGGAAAAGAAACTTGGAACAAACAAATAGTCAGAGAGCAAGCAAAAACTTTCAAAAGGAAGTTTTCAGTACCTTCAGAAATGTAAGGGAAGATAATGGCATTTATGAATTAAGGATAGAATGCTTTATAAATAATATTCAAAGCACACAAAAGAGATCTTAGAAATTATAATTGTAAAAATTACATTCTCTGAGGAAGGATTAGATATAAAAGTGTAAAGAAATCTCCACAAAGAGCTGAAATATAAGAAATAAGAAAACTAGAGGGTCAGTCCAAGAGGTCTACTGTTTGTAAAATAGCAATTCCAGAAAGAAAACAAATCAGAAAAATTATCAAAGGAAGAATTTAAGAAAAATTGTCAGAATTGGAACATATGTGTCCAGCTTGATAGAACAGACCAAGAGCTCATTATAATGCTAATAAAAGCCAACACAAAACCATGCCATTATGAAGTTTCACAATATGGGAAACAAAGACAAGTGTCTAAAAACTCCCAGAGAGAAAAACCAAGCAGTATGCAAATAAGAAAACATTGGATTTTTCACTAGTGACTCTGCGAGATAGAACACAATGGAGCAAATTTTTCAAAACAATTGGCAATCTAGAAATCTGTATTCCATAAAAACATCAACAAAGTAAAGTAGATATTTATTCATGCAATGTTTCAAGAATTTTACCTTTCGTTATGCACCATTTCTTTCTTTTTTTTTTTTTTTTTTTTTTTTTATTTTGAGATGAAGTCTTGCTCTGTCGCCCAGGGTGCAGTGCAGTGGTGCGATCTTGGCTCACTGCAACCTCTGTCTCCCAGGTTCAAGAGATTCTCCTGTCTCAGCCTCCTGAGTAGCTGGGACTACCAGGTGCCTACTACTAAGCCTGGCTAATTTTTGTATTTTTAGAAGAGTCCATATTGGCTAAGCTTGTCTCCAACGCCTGACCTTGTGATCTGCCCACCTTGGCTTCCTGAAGTGCTGGGATTACAGGCATGAGCCACCACACTTGGCCAGGCACCATTTCTTATGAAGCAATTAGGGGATATTTTTCCACCAAAACAAAGGTGTCAACTAAGAAAAAAAAATGAAATCTAGTAAAGGGGTATCTATTAGAGGTCATCCAACACAGGAGAAATGCTAAAGGAATCTTCCCTAGCTGATAGATAATGAAGCTGATAGATAATGAGTAAATTAATCTTAGGTTTGTCTTAAACACAGAAGGATTATATCTTACACAGAAAAGATTATATCTCCTATAAAGAAATCTTGTTTGAGGCAGCTTAAGTATCATGTCCTTACAGATTTATCATAGACTTTCTTCTTCACATATTAAGTACATATTAATATAACAAACTATTCTCAAGTTTGCCTCATACTCCAAGGTGTTTGTTGGAGATCCAGCTACTATGTTCATATTTCAACGTGGAAAGAAGGTTAAGGAAAGACAAAAGGGTTCCCTTCTAGCTGAATCTGTACCTTTAAGCATCCTTCCTGGAAATTCCTTAAAGCATTTCCATTTGTATATCATTGGCCTGAGCTTTCCATACTGCATATTTAATAGATAAAGCCTAAAACTAAAAATTAAAGGCATAGCAACTTAAGCAGCTTATATACTGATAATTTAGCAGGTATTTACTTTCATATCAATATATAACATGTACTGTACATAGTACATAACATACTGTATATAACATATACTTTAACATATATAACTTTCATATCATAATATATATTGATATGAAAGTAAATGCCTGCTAAAAAGTGTGCCTTTTTGAAAGAGGAGTGGAAATATGATATGGGAGTGAAAGGAGGGAGCTCCTATTTGTTGAAATAAGATTTATAGAATTATTTAACTGTTATAAATATATGGATGTATAGTTTTGATCCAAATTTAAAAACTGAATTATAGAACAAAACTCCGTGTTTACAAACTAAACAAAATACAATAGTTTCATATACATAAATGTTTTTCCATTGAAAGTTGACCAACGAAGGAAAAAAGTCCACCTTAAATTACAATTTTTACTCAAAGTTTTAAGAATAAAAATAAGCTCAGAATTCTCTTCCTTAGGTTCACATACTGTAGTACCAAATCATGTTGGGTTTCTAGAGTGTTTACAAGCAGTCATTCTCATAAGTTTTTATTTCACTGCACTAGAAAACCTTTGTGACTGACGCATGAAGATCTGTTCCTTGAGGGAAGAGGGAAGAGACTGAAGCACTAACATTAAGGTTAAATGTTATATCTGTTATTCAAGGCAAGGGCCAGCCAAGCCAGAAGTCCTGTCAATTCAATGGCCTGGAAAACGATCAAGCCGCCGAGTCCAGAGACACAACAGCTTCTCCCCAAACAGCCCTCAATTTAATGTCAGTGGTCAAGGTAACTTACCCTTCATTGTTTTTCTTTGTCAACGTCAATTTATCTTGCATTTTCCAATTGATTATTTTAACAAACAACACATAAGACAATAGTAATGGAACACTTTCCTTATACCAGGTAAGTTCGAGACAGAAGCAGTGAAGAGCGAAGGGTATGCAGAACTAGGGTGGTGAGCCTAACCATCAGCACTGTTAGAATCCTAACAATTCTGCCTGGAAAGAGATGGTAAATAGGGAATCTCCATCCAGTATCTTCATCCACTAATATCTAAAAGATATGAGTTCTGTATGACTGACTCCCCATCATCTTGAAATAAAGGGGCTCTACAAATATCCTCTAGATCTCCAAGACTCCCTAAACATATCATAAGTTCATTTAGGAAAAGGATCCTTGTTCTCATGATAGGATTAGTCATAGCTGGTGTTTTTGAAGTTTGTAATGTGATGTTGGATTTATTGGGCTAAACCATGCACATAACTGTTAGGTTATTAAATTCTAACTGTGTCACTTATAACCATTTTAAAATCGATTTGAAATGTGCAAACTCATGTTGCTAAATATTTGAGTAATTTTTATAAAGCATGCATATATACATGTCACTTGAATATGTCATTTTAACACAAATGAGTTTTTAAATATCTAATGTTCAGAAAATCAAGGTATAAACTACATCCTATTTTTTACCAATTGTACTTGAAAGATTTCAGAGCATTTTCATGAATAAAGCCCTATTTTATGTTGACACCTTATAAGGTAGATGTTAATTTCCCTATTTCTCCATTTCACAGGTAAGGAAACAAGCCTGGAAACTTAAATGATTTGTCCAAGGTCATAGGAAGTATTAGCCCATTTTTATTGTGATGCGACTTTTAAAATCTTGATGGTTACACTTGTAGATACTTGTTTTTCTCTCTCATGAGTCTATGGTTGGTGATTTGGGCAATTTCAGCTGAATGTGGTTCCAGGCTGTATGTAGCTTTTCAGCTCCACTTCTCATGTAGCCTCCTTCTGGAATAAGCAACAACTGGAACATTTTCTTCTCCTGGTGGATGTCAGAAGCACAAGCAGCCAGCCCAGAATTATACATGCATATTAAAAGTACATGTTTCATGTACTGTGTGCATCTTGTCTGCTACCTCTCCATTGGCCAAATGAGTCACATGTCAAGCACAGAAACAATGGGGAGGGAAACATGCTTCATCCATTATAATAGGAGATACTGCAAAGTTGTGGTGCAAGAGTATATGCAGATACTTCCATAGCATGAAGAAAGTGAAGAATTAGGAAAAATAATACAATCTACCACAAGAAACTAGAAAATAATAATGCTAAGCTCCTGAAACAAAATATAGATTGTTCTTTCCATTTTAGCCATTTAGAAAATAGAACAAAATATCTTTCCTTGGGTCTTTGATGTGACAGCAACCTTAAATTATTTTGGAAATAACCCAGATTAAAAATACTGTATTAAAATTTTAAAAACATAAACTTTATTAACATATGTATAATATTTTCTCTACTCAGCTCCTTTCTTTTCTTTCTTTCTTTCTTTTTTTTTTTGGACCACTTCTTTGCAGCAGTGCCAATGGTCATTTTTACATCATAATTTGGTGGGCTTTGAAAGGTGATTCCTCCAAGAAGGCAGGTGGAGACGTAAATTCTGAGGACATCATTGTCCCTTCATAATTTAGGTCTTGTCTTTATTGCATTCAAAGCTAATGCAAGGCTTTATAGTCTTGAATTCAGTCACATCCTGATTTCAAGAAATATTAAACAATACTATTTCAGCAAATGCCTATAAAAACATTTTTTTAAGCTTCAATCAGTATACACAAATATGCCAGGATGTTTGTGCATGGGCTCAGACCCATAACTCTTCTCTTTGCATAATAATGTTAATAAAAACAATAGTAGTAGCAGAACTTCTATAATGTTTAACGTGGTACTAAATACACACATACACATACACACACACACACACACAACCATACCTACGTATACAAATGTATGTATATATCATTATATGTGACTATAAATCAACAGGCTCCAGCCTGTACTTGTAACCACTGTGCCATGATTATAGAGCCATGTATGTTTACTCAAGTTAGTTCCTGGGAAAGGAGCGACTATCTTGCCCTTATGCTTCTTTTTGATTATAGCAGTTTACACCTTGCCATGGTCAGGGGTATGGTTTCACAGGCTCTTGCCACTCCCCTCCAAGTAAGTTTAGAATTGTTGATTGATGCTTTCATATTTGCAAAAGAAAACCAACTACATTATGGGGTTTTATAAAAGGCTCAGCAGGATCTTTTCAGAGATCTTTTCAAAGATCTCAGCAGGATCTTTGTAAAGGCCAGACAGGCAATTACATAAAAAACAGGCCTGTGGAAGTGAACCCCTGGGATGCATGGATCTATGGAAATCAATAACTTAGAAAGCGCTCATGAATACATTTAAAAAAATGACCAGTGACACTGCATCCTTCCTTCAGGGTTGAAGAAAAGCTCTGAGATAACCAAGCATTTCTCCTCTGTCTAAAGTTTAACATATTGCCCTCATGATTCCCCCAACCCCAGGCTTATTAGAAGAAGACAACCAGTGGATGACCCAGATAAACAGACTCCAGAAATTAATTGATAGACTGGAAAAGAAGGTAGGTGCTTTATTTTCGTTATACTTTCTTCCAGTTATCAAGATATTCTGACCCAATATTCCTCATTGCTTCTTATCCATGGCTGCCCCATACATAGAATACCAGCCAGGATTGCAATGATTCTATGAATGGCTGTTTGGTAATTTAGGTTTTGTTGTTGTTGTTGTTAAATACAGAAGCTTACATTAATTCTCCTCCAACCTCCCACCCCCATTATATTTAAAATAGGATGTGGAGTTGAGAGTTACGTAAATCTACCGCACTGCCTGGCTCTTAGGTTTTCAAATGAACTAGGTGACAGTGTGCTTGAATGATGCTAATAACAGTTCTTAGGTATAAGATGGTTGAAGTCTTGGGAATCTTTCAAATTAATTCAGGAAAATGGCAGTGCTATCTACCAAAAGATGAGATTCCACACCCAACTTCTGGAAATTAGCACATTAACTGATGGTTTTGGTATTAAAACTATCTAAGCAAGCAAGTTAGAATGTGATGAAGAGTTCTTTAGAACTATATTTTATGTTCTTAGTTATTGTATTTTTATTTATTTAGTTAGTACCAAATAGTCCTGATATTATAGTGATAGTCTCCTTAAACATCTTACATGGAAGAGACAACCTTTGTCAATCAGTAAGAAAATGTGTTCTGCACATGCCAGGCACCAAGGAAGAAACATTTATGTTTGTGGCAGCACTGACTTTGAAGAAAACCATTATCTACTTATGCAACCAAGCTATACTCCTAAAGAGAGAGAGAGTTAACAGATTTTTTTTAAAAAATAGATGGTAGCACAGAATGAGATTCATCATTGATGGTCAGTAAATATTTGGTGACTAACCAAGACATGCTAAAAGAATGGAGCAAATGTCAAAATCTCTCCGTGTTCACCTCATAGGTTGATCACTGTGACCTGGAGTGCTCAGGAAGAACTTTGTGTGACAGGAAGAGTTCAAATGGGGCTTTAAAAATGGTGACTTAATTAAAAATGTTATTGCAAACAACAGAAATCATTTCTCTAATTAAAAAAAAAAGAAGAGTTTTCTGGAAGAATATGGAAGCACTCACAGAATCAACAGATAGTCCAAAGATCTGAATTACGAAAAGTCAGGAGACAAGATAACCCTAGAGAACTAGATAGCAAGAAATACTCAACAGTCTCTCAAGTTATCTCCACTGGAATAAATCAGTTCCTGCCATTTCCAGTCTGCTGGCTTTCTATTCAAAATTCTGCTTCCCAAAAGAAGAGTCTGGTTGGTCATGGTAGGGTTGCATTGCTGACCTCCTAGATATGGGAGGGGAAAAAGTCTTGATAACAATCCCAGAACACAGTATAGAAGGAAGAAGAAACAATTCAATGAAAAGAAAATATTGTCATTAAAGTTGGAATAAACGCTGATCAGCTAACTAACAAGGAAACTAAAATTTGCTATGGAGAAGTAAAATTTTAGCAAATAGAGGGCAGCTGGAAAGGGCATTCAGGTAAGGTGATGGCATGAGCAAGGTTCAGTAGATCAGCCTGGTTAAGAGTCTTTCATGTAGGGAAATCATAACAAATGAGGTTTATGGACAGAAGAGGGCCAGCTTATGGACAGCCTCAAAGAATAGTCTAAGGAATTTGGACTTGGTCCAGGAAACAACAGAAGGCATTTATTATTTTTTACAGGTAAGTGACAAACCAAAAAAATCCTTTAGATAGGAAATTGGGCAGCAAGATGCAAAGTGAATGAAAACAAATGAAAAATGGATTAAAACAAGAAAAATGAGGCTCAGAGACACTACAGCCAGCTCAGACGATGGCATTGAAGAGCAGATTTGTGCAAGTGAACTCAGTGAAGTCAGGTATGATAAGAGATGGGCCTGTATTAAGCTGATAAGTGAGAAGAAAATGGTAGATTTGAAATAATTGACGTGAAATTAATAGCACTATTGAATGGGTTAAGGACAGGGGGAGCTCAAATAAGAATCTGAGGATAGGAGCCTGTGTTTCCGAAACAACTAATCATAGCATTAAGAGAAAAGGAAGAAACACGTGAGAGATAATCTGTGAGATAAGGTGAGAAGGTGAACTAGTTTTTTTTTGATGTGTGAATTTGAAGGTGCAGTGGAACACTTAGGCAGAAATACCTAGTTAGATGTTAGTAGAAGGGAAGTCAGGCCAACAGGTTTAGGTCTTTAGACTTATCTCCACAAAGATGAACCCTCAAGTTGTGATTTCTTTCCTCAAGTCCTGAGGATGGGTAAGGTCTCTGAAAAGGGAGATTCTGTGCAAGAACAGCCATGTCAAGGGGAAACAACCCTGCAGAGTTGTTGTCCCTCTGCAATGGTGTCTTTATTTGTTAAATTTATGTTGACCGCTTACTGAAGCAAGTACCTCAACTACTAGCTTTATGCAAATCAACTTTCCTCCTTTCTTATTTTATTGATAGGTGTGCTGAAACTAAAAGATTTGTAGGAAAAATAGTGGCTGTGAAAATCAGTTTTCCAATATTGGAAGGTCAAATCCAGGACCTCTACTCGAAAACTAAAGCTTATTAAAACATAAGGATTTAGTTGTTAAACAAGTTCATTTTCATTTAAAGAACACAAATACCTCTTTTCAAAGTGGTTTTGAAATTTTAGACAAAACTGTCTTTATTTGATATCTGAAAATTTTATAGTTCTTTTTAAAGGAATGGCTCAAACTTAGTTCATGCATTTTTTCTAACTTTAAATCAAAGTTTTGTCACATTTCTTTTTATCCTAGACTTTTTTCTGCCTCCCTTCCTATAAAAGGGTTTCATTTTGAGGACAGTATCTAAGAGGTTTGCTAAAAGTACAATGTGATGGTTTTCAGCATGGCGCTCCAGCTGTGTGGAGCTCAGTGTGAGCTGTCTTAATGAATGGAGAAGCAGTGCAAGTTCAGTTTTCTACAACTTATTCTGCACCGTGCTGATGAAGTTTTTAGAGGAAAAGCTACCCAATTGCCAAACAGTGGCTGAGTGCACGTCATTTCACTGCTAAGTACCTTGTCTCCTGTAGTTGTTAACACTAGGTTTGATCTTCCCATTAAAAGGAAGTGTACCTGCAGTGGAACATACGTTTTCTCTCTATTAAGTATTTATGATAAATTCTTCCTGCAATGAAACCAAGCCCTATTCCATGCATGCAGGGGAATATAACACAGCAATTTCTATAAGTTTCTTCAGATATTCCTCGTATCCATTTCAGACTCCGTAAGTGTTAACGGGGATATACTGAGTTATGTCTTGTGTTTTGTTTAATCCCTGTAGAAAATACCTTTAATGGCCGGGTGCAGTGGCTCATGTCTGTAATCCTAGCACTGTAATCCGAGGCAAGTAGATCATCTGAGGTCAGGAGTTCAAGGCCAGCCTGGCCACCACGGTGAAACTGTCTCTTTACTAAAAATACAAAAATTAGCCGGGCGTGGTGGCACATGCCTGTAATCCCATCTACTTGGGAGGCTGAGGCAGGAGAATCACTCTTACCCAGGAGGTAGAGGTTGTAGTGAGCCAAAATAGTGCCACTTCACTCCAGCCTGGGCAAAAGAGTGAAACTCAGTCTCAAAACAAAACAAAATACCTTTAATGTTTAACAAAATAACAAGGACAACAATGAAAACTCTTCATTCTTTATTAAGTCCTCAGTGTATCATCAGATCACAGGACATTCTCATTTGAAAGGATATAATTCAGGATGTAATACTCATACAACTTGTTTTAAGTCTTCCGTATCTCAGATCATGGAATGTAGAACTGCAAATTGTACCTTAGTTAGTGTCAGGGAAATAGCGGTCAAAGAGATTACTAGGTTACAGTTTCTACCTGTGGAGTACTTTTTAGTTTTCAGTTCACATCTATATGCATTACATATAATTTTGCCTTCATGGAAAAACTATGATTCAGACAGGGCATTCATTCAGTCAGTCATTTATTTAACATTTATTGAGTACTTAATGTGCATCAGGTACTATTCCAGCAGTGGAAATACAGCAGTGATCAAAAGAATATCCTTGGTCTTTGAAGAGACAGACAAGAAAACAAATCTATGAAACAAGATAATTTCAGATAATGGAAAGTGCTGTAAAGAAAAAATAGAGCAATATAATGCAGATAGGTGGTTGAATACTCCAAATGAGTGGTCTGAGAAGGTCTCTTTAATAAGATGATAGTCTAATAAGGTGAGATGTGAAAAACAAGAAGCCAGCTATGTAAAGCTATAGAGATACAGAATTTACAGCAAAGCAGGGAAAGTGAATTCCACAGAAGTTAAATACCTTGCCAAAAGTTCCACCACAAGAGAACAGCACAGCTAGAATGACATAGCTCTATTATTAACAGGCATATGTTATTTCAGATAGTCTGGCTTTTTACAATTTTCACTTCTTATCTATTTGAAGAGTTATTCTACATAATCCTCACAGAAAGAAGTTCTGAGAGATGAAGCACTTGGTTTCACTGGGGACATTAACATTATTCATTGGTCATCACAGGAGACATTAAGGTCTTAATTCTCAAAAGAAGATATACAAAGGGCTTACAAACATGAAAAAATGCTCAGCATCACCAATGATCAGGGAAATGTAATTCAAAACCATAATGTGATACTACCTAATTCCTGCAAGAATAGCCATAATAAAAAAATAATAGATGTTGGTATGGAAGTGGTTAACAGGGCATACTTCTACACTGCTGGTGGGAATGTAAACTAGTAAAACTACTATGGAAAATAGTGTGGAAATTCCTTAATGAACTAAAAGTAAAACCACTGTTTGATCCAGCAATGCCACTACTGGGTATCTACCTAGAGGAAAAGAAATAATTATACAAAAAAGATACTTTCAAACACATGTTTATAGCAGCACAATTTGCAATTGCAAAAATATGGAACCAATTCAAATGCCCATCAATCAATGAGTAGATAAATTATGGTATATATATGTGATGGAATACTACTCAGTCATAAAAAGGAATGAATTAATGGCCTTTGCAGTAACCTGGATGGGACTGGAGATTATTATTCCAAGTGAAGTAACTCAGGAATGGTAAACCAAACACTGTATGTTCTCACTCATAAGTGGGCGCTAATCTATGAGGATGGAAAGGCATAAGAATGACACAATAGACTTTGGGGACTCAGGAGAAAAGGTTGGGAGGGAGGGGAGGGATAAAAGACTCCAAATTGGGTTCGGTGTATAGTGCTTGGGTGATGGGTGCACCAAAATCTCACAAACCACCACTCAAGAACTTACTTCTGTAACCAAATACCTCCTGTTCACCAAAAACCTATGGAAATAAAAAAAATTTTTTTAAGACTTCAAGATCTTTATAAGAGTTATTCACTTTTAGCAAATATTAATTGTATTTTCATTACTCTTTAATTTACTTTCAGCCGGGTGCAGTGGCTCACGCCTGTAAACCTAGCACTTTGGGAGGCTGAGGTGGGTGGATCACCTGAGGTCAAGAGTTCAAGACCAGCCTGGCCATCATGGTGAAACCCCATCTTTAAAAATAAAATAAATTTACTTTCTATTTAATAAAGAAAATCAGCACTAAGGTGTGAATGTATTGTAATAATAGACTAATGTTCATAATAATGTCCCAAGAAATGTAGAAATGTGGCAATATTCATAGTAAAATAAATCATTAGCTTAGTCATTCTAACTTTTTCCTGTTCTTTTGTTTGCTTTCCTATCCTTTTGCTCCCTGCTTTAATGTATCTCTTCCACTTTGCTCTCTAATAGCATCCAGGAAGTAAATTTAATGCAATACATCAAACACATCTAAAACAGCTTCTTACAATTGATAAACGAGTACAGAGTCTTTATCAGAACAGCTTAGTTTTAAAAAATCATAATTATTTAATCTTTCAAATAATGAGGTTCTTTTGGTTCATTATTAGCCATGAAAGAACTATGATTTGAATATATGGCATTTTTTAAAATGATGTAATTTTTGTTTTTTTCTGACATTTCTCTTATTGAAGGACCTCAAACTTGAACCACTGGAAGAAGAAATTATTGAAGGGAATACTAAATCTGTAAGTATTTTTTATCAGGTAAAAATATTAGAAATATATTCTTGGCCGGGCGCGGTGGCTCAAGCCTGTAATCCCAGCACTTTGGGAGGCCGAGGCGGGTGGATCACGAGGTCGAGAGATCGAGACCATCCTGGTCAACATGGTGAAACCCCGTCTCTACTAAAAATACAAAAAATTAGCTGGGCATGGTGGCACGTGCCTGTAATCCCAGCTACTCAGGAGGCTGAGGCAGGAGAATTGCCTGAACCCAGGAGGCAGAGGTTGCGGTGAGCCGAGATCGCACCATTGCACTCCAGCCTGGGTAACAAGAGCGAAACTCTGTCTCAAAAAAAAAAAAAAAAAAAAAAAAAAAATATATATATATATATATATATATATATATATATATATTCTTTAAAAACATAATTTCTTTAAAAATTAGTCATTATCTTAACGAAAAATCAAAAAACTAGTCGTATTTCATTTTATATGGTTAAGTAGTGTCTTCTTCATTGTGATTTGTGTAAACCTAATAACTAGTTCACAACTTTTATGACAGTACTTGGCATGTAATAGGTGCAAAATGAACATTGTATACATGTATAAATCAATGAATTATTGAATAATTGAAGGAATATGACTGATAGAGAAGGGCAACATTTAAGTTGTATCATAAACACATTTTGTAAACCCTGCGATTTTGAATACGGATATACCTGAGTTGAAACCAGGTTCTGTTCATTATTGTATTTCCAGCATTTATCCTAGGGCTGGGTAAACTGAAAATGCTCAGAAATAATTTTTCAAAGAATAAATAGATTTTTAGAGAAAAGGGAACATTTGTATCCCTAGGTATAAGACGTCCATTCAGAGTGGCAGCACTTTTTGAAACAGAAGGAAAATGGACAAAGGGATACTAAAAGGTACATTAAAATGCAACAAAAAGAAGTTAGTAAATAATTAAAAGCATTACATACCATACTTTATTATTTACCCTTATGTTGAGGCAAATACATATAGCACATTCTGTTTCAGGAAACTGGATGTTTACATTTATATTTAGTGGAAATTTGGATTTTAAAATCTTGAGTAACTAGGAGAAAAATCATTTTTAATACTTTAAGTGTATTATATACTTTGCAGATGTTGAAGAAACAGTCACATTTATATGAAACAAAGATAGGAAATAACCTTTCATCTCTGAATGTGCACTGACTACATGATAGAGAAAGGTGAGACCCACCTGTATATAAGGCTCCTGCCTATCTGTCCAAATTCATAATCCAGAGGGATTATTCAGAGGAAGCTTTGTGGGATTCTCAGAAAAGCTTAATCGTGGCTGCTACTGTTAGAATCTTGTAGTTATGAATACTTTCCTCTGATAAGGTGTATCTGTCACTGCATGTCTAGTGTTTTTATCCCTCCAGAGACAGGGCTGTAATCTATGTTAATTCATCAAAAACCCAAAATTTTAAAATAGTAGGCTTTCATGGGAAAGTGAGAGGTGAGGGGTGTTGTGCATATATACTAAGAATAGTGGGTTTGTGCAGTCCCAGGGGCAACAGGAATTAACCTTGTGATCATGCATCTGTTATCTTCTCATAAGTTTGCATATAGGAAAAACTATACTCCAGTCAAAGGAAAAACAAATATAACTTTTCTAATGTTATGAGAGATAGTTGTCTATTCTTAAATAATTTTCTAATGTGAGATTATTTTTTCTCTCTGGCTATGAGAAAGAAAAATTCTCTAAGGATTGTTTGTGAAAGGAGGCAGCTATTCCATTTTCAGGTCCCTGAGCCACCAATGCTAATGCCAATTTTAAAAGATCAACATACACAACATTACTAATTCAGTAGTGCATAGAAGTACTTGGAACAAATAAAACTGCACAAGGTCATTCAGCTCTCAATATTTGAAAGCAGGAAAGGATATTCCCTATTTCCAGCCATATATAGAGTTATAACAATTATGCTCTTTGGAAATAGACATATAGTAAAGATTTAAACTGGTTTGTCTTTTCAGAAGTAACAATAAGATATTTGTCATTAAATATCTTAATGTTACATAGTTGTATTTTGTATTAATGGTAGTAAGTGCATTACTATAAGTTCCTATAAAACCTCCTATGTTCAGAATGACTAAAATTATTTTTCACTGTTATTTCAGAGCTAGTGCTCATAACTCTATCCTACCATGTGTTAAATGATTTATCCTGATGCCCAAAACCAGTTTTATAATTCATCAAGTAGAGAGGTATTTTTCCTTTTTCATTAGTGAATACATGAAAACTTGGAAAAATAAATTCTATGACAGAAAGCAAAGAATAAATTTGTATTACACTTGGTTTTTGAAATACTAATCTTTACTGATCCTTTGCTTTGTGCCAAGTGTTGTACTAAATACACACATAACTCACTTAATTCTCACAATAGCCAGATGAGACAGTGCTAGCCTCAGACTCATTTTGTTGATGAAGAAATCAAGGTTTAAAGGAGTTTACCTACCATAGCTGAACCCCTGCAGTTCAACCCCAGACCTATGCTCATCAGCATGCTCTGACATTTTCAGCCCTAGTGTTTTCTGGATTTCTAGCCTGTAAAGTAGAACTGCTGTTTGCTAGCAGGGTTGTGGATGAATGGATGATTGTTTCATGAGATTCCCTACGAGAGCAGAGCAGATCGTCTGGCAGGCTTCTCTGAGAACACAGTAAAAGTCCTGAACCCTAGCAAGTGCCATATCTAGTTTTCTGGGTAATGAGTCATTATATAATGATGAGTCTAGGTATAATTTCTTAAGTCTATTTTTTTTTTCTCACCCCAGAGTAAGACATGTGACACTTATTGAGTACCTTTCATGGGAAGGATCCTTATATACACTATTCTATTTAATCCTCTCCAAAACTCTAATATAAGTACCATTGTTCTAATTTTAGGTATCAAGAGTCAACCTGAGAAAGGACTAAGCAACTTGTTAAAGGCCACATAGGAAAAATGAAGCTAATTCTTTTTACTTTATATCCCTGCTCTTGAAGGAGAAGGAAGGAAGGAAAAAGAGGACAGGGTGAAGGAGACAGATGAAAGAGCAGCTAACAATTGTGCAGTGCTGTTGAGTTTCCAGGGCCACCTCAAATCCTCTTCTGGAATAAATGAAGTTTATTAAGGGGATTCTAAGATTAGTCAATGGCTAAGAGCAAAAATATCTTTAATGTGTTTGTTCCACAAATAACTTGATCACCAACTATGTTCCAGGCCTGGAGAGAGGTGTCTGTAAATAAAGTAGTGAATATTATAAGCTAGAAGGAAATTATACAGAATTTACAATAAAATGTGATGAGGATTATTATAGGAAAGTATAGATTTGTACAGTAAGGGGGCACAACTCAATTTAGGAGACCAAGGAATGCTTCCAAAAGGACATAATATTTAAGATGAAGTCATAAAAATAGAAATTTTTCTAAAAAATACATATCTCTTACTACATAGAATGTTTCTAACGTTGCACTAAAAGAACACTAAAGTGCTAGATAGAAATGTTTAAATGTTACAAATGATTTATAACAAGCATATTATAAAGATGTGCCTGTATGGCACTTTTTACCAAAAGAGTAGTGCAATAAAATGATCACTTTCCAGATATTTTCTTCATTCAAAGGTTTTTTAAAAGTCATGATAATTTTAAACAACATATGAGTATATTCTTATGCTTTTCAAAAACTCAAACTTTTTTTCAGCACATTGTTGTTATAATACACTAAAATGGCTTATCATACAATGAGTCTACAAACCTAGTATCTTTTTCTGCCTTTCTACACTCATATAAAACCTATGAATATTGTCTTATGAAGTCAATCCATTCTGTCATACATTCCTAAGGGTTTGGGGCTATTGTCAAATAATATAACAGGGACTATCAAAAGATAAGTCTTGTTCTACCATGACTGTTAAGAGAGTCAATGAAACCATACAAGAAAGGCTATGGTATCTTTGAAGACGTATTTGGAACATAACTGTAAATGTAGTAAATAGAACCAAGTAACATGAAAAAATAGGTTGTATTTAAAACATGTGTCTCTGTCCTAAGACTAAAAAAGATGACATTTCTTGAAATGTTCCAGGAACTCAAAGTCTGATGGAACATAATCTAATGTCACTGGCAAATACTATCTGTGAACTGAGATTGGCTTTTTGTATTAACACAGCACTAGTCCAAGATATTCCAAATATCCAGCCATATCTTGTTACAATGGAAATTGTAACAAAATTCCTATAAGATAAATGATAAATAATATACTACTACATCTATAATAGAGAAACAAAAAGGTAGCATCATGAAAGAATATTCAACCATGGAAGAATGCTCTGAGCTAACTGTATCTTAGGATCCCACATTGTAGTTAAGCTTTCAGGCTGTGCATTTGACACAAGAGACACATAGAAATATTAACAAGATAGTAGGACTCCTGCTCCACCTCTCCCAAACCCCATATCCTACAACTTGTCTTGACCTGGCCAGCACAGAAAATTTAAGTGTTTTCTTTGGATTTCAGAAAATCTACTTTAACCATTATTTAAAAAGCTCCACTTGTCGGAATAGTCATCAAACGTAGGCAAATTATCTGGGCCTCTTTAAATGAATTTCTTTGTGCAAATATCTTAGGAAAGGAGGGGGAAAATATATGTCTGATTTGGGTTGCAAACTTGGACATTGCAACCCAATCTAGGAAGCCAAGAACTCAATTTTTCCAATTTATTCATCAATGTACATAAGTGAATGAATCAGTTAGCTATTGCTACGTAATAAACCACCCCCAAATTCAATGGCTTAACACAATAACCACAATTTTGCAGGCAGGCAATTTAGGCTGGGATCAGCTGGCTGGTTCTTATGGTCTCAAATGGACTCCTTGTGTCTGCAGTAAGCTGCATGTCAGTTTTGCTGATCTTGGCTGAGATTTCTCATAGTTGAGAAGCTCAGCTGTGCTCTATGTGGTTTTTAATCCCCTAATATAGGGGTTGGCAAACTAAAGCATACCTCTTGTTTTTGTTCATAAAGTTTTATTTTAACACAGCCACACTCATTTGTTTATGTGTGGGCTGTGGCTGCTTTCACACAACAATAGCAGAGTTGACTAGCTGCAACAGGAGCCATGTGGCACACAAAGCCTAAAATACTTACTATTTGTCCATTTATGGAAAATGTTTGCTGGCCGCTGATGTAGCAGGTGTTGTTCACATGGTAATCTCAGAGATCCACGAGAAAGAGTGGAAATCCACAGGCCTCTTGGGCCCTAAATTTGAAACTGGTACACTGTCAGTTCTGCCATGTTTTTTGGCCAGAGCAAATTAGAAAGCCAACCCAGATCCAAGGTGGTGGGGGACAGAATCCATGTCTTGATGAGAGGAACTAAAAAGTCAAATTTCAAAGGGCATGGTTTCAGGGGCATAGTAAAGGGTTCTTTTTATTTTTGTAATCTATCCCACTTGATCATATAAGAATTGCCTTTAGACAAAGAAAAAAAAAAAAAGAAAAGAAATTTTGATGGAGTAGGTAGGTGTATTTATATAGCTCATTAGGGAAGCCCATGAGCTTTCCAAATTATCTGAGTCAGTAATCACAAATGTCCAAGAGGTCCCTGCAGATTTTTGTGAAAAGGACATATCCACTGTTATTTTGGTAAAAATTAACTTTAACTCTACTTAGTTATTAATATTAAAACCATGTGCTTTGGTTAGTCCAACAAAAGTAGGAATATTTGTTGAATATACTGAATACCTGACAGTCTCTACAATATCATTGGTGTTCAACAAATAATAGGTATTAACATGAAATAGAAACTCATTGGATTAGAAAAGAGAAAACAGTAGAGCAGAGGTTTAAGTCTAGCTCACATGTTGCATAGCTGGTATTACTGTGGAAGTTATTTTTCTCATATTCTAGATCATCCTTTCATTGTTGTGTTTTATTTTTGTTTTTGCACTTTTATGATTCATAACAATCCTTACTCTCATCTGCACTTTTATAGTTTCACTACCAATTCTTGAAAAGACATAATGTTGAGATCTAAAATTCCATGAGAAGCCCACAGGCCAATCTTGAGGGAAGTCTTGAAACTACAATTGCTATAATGCTAATAGGATTTGTTACAGGGAACAGTTGGCATCCAATCCAGTGTGATCCATTAAAAACAAGCACCATCTGATGCTATTATCTTTTGAACAGGGCCTGTTGTAAGTAGTTAATGTGTTTGACAACACTGTAATATTTGAAGTACCTTTGGAAATGCATGAGTTACTCACTTTTTTTGAAATCTGGTTGTTTGTAATGATTGTCACTTATGTCTAATATCACAAAATATCCAAGAAGTTGGAGCTGTATAATCTACAATAGGACTCCTCTTCAAAAAGTGGTAAGTGGCTGTAGGGAAGTGATCCTAGCTCCGGCTGCACATTAGAGACACTTAGGGAGGTTTTAAAAATACCAATGCCTGGGCCCCACTCCCAGAAATTCTTATATAATTTTAAAACTCCTTGAGTTATTCTCATTGAGAATCACTGCTTTTAAAGGGGAAACATGTCATTGTAAAGAAGACTTTGTTTAGCTTCTGTGACTACAGGCAAGGAGAATATCCTGCCTAGATTACAGCCTTTATGCAATTTTATACTTGGAATAGTCTGGACCTTCCTTAGTCATATTTTTGGATGACAATCATTTGTTTTTGTGAGGAGGTATGGGATGGGCAGTAGGAGTCAGCTTAAACCAGGCTCTGTGACAGCCAATACAGTGACCCTAACCCCTTCCTCGGCAGCACATCATGCTTGTGCAGCGGCAGATGTCTGTGATAGAAGAGGACCTGGAAGAATTCCAACTTGCTCTGAAACACTACGTGGAGAGCGCTTCCTCCCAAAGTGGATGCTTGCGGTAAGTGCTCTTACTCCTGCGCCTGAGACCTTTTGACAGTCCGGGAGTGCAGTGAAGGCATTTCCCACTTTAGACAAGGCTGAGGGTGTAGAAGACAGATATCTGTGAATTCATACATTAAGTTATGCAGAGCATTCTATCTGGTGTCGCTTGCTGCCTTTAACTGGATGTTTTCTCTTTAATCTTTGGGCCCTGTGTCGTTTGGTCATTAGGGGCACCAGGCAAAACAAAATGGAGAGAACAACTCAAATGAGGAGACTGAATTTCAAATAAGTTGAAATTCCCTTTTGCATCCAGGCAGTCCACACACTGATTTAAAATCATCTCTAGTAGATCAGGCACCAACTCTAGGACATCTAGCTGTGATTGCTCCCTTGGCAGCATGCCCTGTGGCCTAATGACCATTTCAGCCATTATGAAATTGCAGGCATCCCTGAAATCATGATTTCAGGCCTTAGTTATTAAAAGAAAATGAAGCAGCAGCAAATCTTTTCTTTCCTTTTTCCGTGGGTACCACCCAGCTCAGGCTTCAAATATCTCAAGCTACTAAAATATACTGTTTCTCATCTTTAGGTTTTCCACTCCAACCAGCCCAATAAACAGCTACTATAATAATTTCCCAGAGACAGTCATCACAGAATTCCTTTAACTGAGAACCTACAGTAACTCTCTAATAATATCTTATCGAATGCTAGATGTTTTTCCTGACTCTATATTTAATCCTACTGACAGACCCAGGAATCCATGTCATTATTATGATGTGTTCTCCCTCATCTAAACACTCTGCCTTGATGATGATGAACAGCTAGAATTTCCAGTATAATCTGTTCGTTCCTACCACTGTGCCTTAGACTTGGCTACTCTTCCTCTAAGAAATGTGCAACTAGCTGCAAGTCTCTGCCAGCCCATGCACTGCCTCAAGTTCAGAGCCTAGGTAGAAAACTTCCACAACCAAGGCGAACTCTGTCTTGTGAGCTTGTTTAAACTGTATTTCATAACTGCTCTTCAAATATTGCTTTGGGAAGGTTTTTAGAAGTGTGTGTGTATGTGTGTGTGTGTGCGTGTGCACACGCATCAACAGATAATTCATGTCTCTGGGTATTTTGCTTTTCCTCTTGGTGATTAATTAATTATATTTTATTCATATCCCAGTAGACTATTTCTCTAACTAAAATGTCTGGTTCTGGAAATAAACATGGGACTTTACTAGCTTTGTAGTTTTGAGAAAGACCCTCACTGGCTCTAAGCCTGAGCTTCAAAAGCCTCCTGAGATGTTTGGGAGGATTAAGTGAGACAGTTTATATGCAGTGCTCAACACAATGCCTCTCATCTACTGAAGATGTGAGCTGGTGTCACTGTTGTGTTTACTATTGTTTCCTGGTTGTCTGGGTGGCTCACCTCCTCTATAGAGTATGAGTACAGTACTTCCTCAGTGCCACTAACAGCTAATCATCTTACAGTAGTGCCTTTATAATAAGAACACAGGAAATGTTGTGTTTCCATTATTACTTTTATTATTCTACTTCACTCCAGACTGAGAAGATCACAAATCAAAACCCCATTTTAGTTCTTTTTACTTCAGTGACTCAAGACAGATTTGCAAATGTGGGAATATGTGTAGTTTTTAAGAGCCCACTCATTGGAAAATAAAATTGAATATTTAAAAATGCAAAGAGGGCCAGGCCCAGTGGCTTACACCTGTAATCCCAGCATTTTGGGAGGCCGAGGCAGGTGGATCACGAGGTCAGGAGTTCAGGACCAGTCTGACCAACATGGTGAAACCCTCTCTACTAAAAATACAAAAATTAGCCAAGCATGGTGGCATGTATCTGTAATCCCAGCTACTCAGGAGGCTGAGGCAGGACAATCTGTTGAACCCGGGAGGCGGAGCTTGCAGTGAATCCAGATCATGTCACTGCACTTCAGCCTAGGCAACAGAGCGAGACTGTCTCAAAACAAAACAAAACAAACAAAAAAAAGCAAGCAAAGAGAACCTACATATACCCCTTCCTCAGTGTAAAGTTCCCGAAGTAGAGCTCAGTAAACTGTTTTTAGTGAGAATATAGAGAAGATAAGTATATTACAATCTCCAGGGATTAGAAATTTCATATTTATAAAAAGGACACACAAGTTTATTTTTTAGGTTCAGAAACACTGCTTTAATGGGTGTTGGAAAAATAACCTCAAGCTATTAAAACAGCCCCAGGGAAACAGGCTGTGGGAGAGTGAGAGAGTGTATAGATTTGTGCTGCCTGCTGCACTCTGTTCTCTCAATAACCGCAATAAATTGCTCCAATGGCTCCTGTTGTGAAGTAGAGGGAAGGAGAGTATCCTTTTCCTGTAAGATATATTCTCAGCCTCTCCTATTCCTTTGCAAGACTGGTTTGTTTTGTATAGTTCTTTGTTCATTTCTTATTGCTGATTTTTCAGCTAAGTTCTTTCTTTTACCGGAATTATCAAAATTTAGACTATATCAGATGGAATGAGCATCAGAGAATCACTACACCCATATAGAATGTATATATGGTATAGATGTTATGCCAGTGTGCCTATCTACATTCAATTTTTCAGTTTTACCAGTTAGTCAAATTCAATTTTCTACCTGTATCAATTGATAATCAAATGCCACTAATGCTATCAGTCATGCTCCAATGTGTCCAGCACAATGGCCTAGTGCTTGGCTGAGAAAATAAAGCTCTGTGAATGTCAGAGGTTCTGTAGCTTCTTCTTCCATGATGTTTAGCTCAGTATCACCATGGATAGGCACAAAAAACTGCCATAAAATAAAATAGATATTAGTAAGGGCTAACAACATTAGGCATTTTGCACCTATTATTTATTTTTATTTTTGGAGACAGGATCTTGTGCTATTGCTCAGACTGTAGTGCAGTGGCACAATCATGGCTCACTGTAGCCTCAATTTCTTGGGCTTAAGTGACCCTCCACCTTAGCCATCAGAACAGCTGGGGCCACATGCATGTGCCACCATGTCTGCCTAATTGTTTAAAAATTTTGTACAGATGGGGTTTCACCATGTTGCCCAGCGTACTTCCCCTTGCATTTCATTGACCAGAAGTCACATGGTCATTCTTGGCCACCAGGAAGGCTAGGAATCAAATATCCAGCAGAGAGGAGTAAGATTATCAGGATATTCTCAGTCCAACACTGATTGGTACATTGGATGTGTTGCAAATATTGAACAGTGGCAGAGTCATGTTAGTTAGAGGAGAGCCATATTTCGGGAGGCAATGGTCAGTGTTAGCTGCATGACTCCCAAAGTAACTGTGAAGGTAAAATGGCCTATCTATGGAAAATGCTTAGATTACTATTAGTACTTATATTATTAGCTTGCTGCTTCTCATTGCTTTAATAGATACGTATATTTTCCCTCCATTTCTTTTCTGGTTTTCCTCTCACCCCATTCCTTTTATTTCTGTCATGCTTCTTAGCTTTGACACTATTACAGCTTAGCTTTCATAGTTACTCACCCAATGAAAGTGATATTTTCCTTTTAGCTATTGGGCTAACAACTAAACACACACACACACACACACACACACACACACACAGCCAAGTACTGAATTAAGAATTCTACATGTAACTTTTTTTTTTTGAAACAGAGTCTTGCTTTGTCACCCAGGCTGGAGTGCAGTGGCACCTTAATTCTCACAGTATTTTTATCACCATTTCACAGATAAGAAAACCGAGGTTGAGTATTGGAATCAAGGTGGCACAGCTAATAAACGGTAAATGGTGGAAGTACTGTTGGGCTATACTTTAAACTACTACCATTTCATGCTATGATATCCTTTTTACTCCTTTAAAAGCTTGAGCATTATGCTAAAATTTTATTAATTTATTATCTTACGGTCTTATGGCTAGTCTGGAAAATGAAAGGTTCAAATAGCAGGATAAGTGGACTTTTAATGTAATAAGTATACAAATGAATTACTTTTCTTTCAGGAAGCAGTTGATGAAGAGCCTGAAACACAAGGCTGAGTATTTTAAACTTTAGCCTAAAGAAAACAGATATGAATTGTAATTTGTCCAGTATACTGTTCAAGGTTATGTTTGAGGATTACAGATCCCTTTGAGACTATGATGGAAGCTATAGATTCTCTTCCTAGGAAAACATATATATGCATATTAATTTGCAGATCATTTCTGGGATTTTAGTGAACTACCAAAGAGCACAATCATGAACTCCTGGTATTAGAATATCACAAATTCCACATTTTATTCAATTCTTATGATTCTATAGTAAACCTTTCTCTAGAAAATCTGAAGTTAGCTAAAAACAATATTTGCTGCATCATACCTTAATGAATCAAACTAGATAAACAACTCTGAAAAAACACTATTTACAAGCAAACCGAAAGAAAAAAAACTAAAATGTCTGTTTGTAGTTACTGCCACCTGCTGGTCACACTTAGGCAAATCCTAAATCTACATTAATCAACTCTTTTACTGGCAAGTTCTTTGTTCTCTATTAACCCAAAAACCCTATTGTTTTTCTAACCCCTTGTTTTGCTTTATATTATGAACCATTAGGCTGAGCAATCTGTACTTTTATTATTAAGTTTTTAAATGCATCTTTATTTTTGTCTCCCACTCTTAAGTTTATGTATCTGTCTGTATTCCTTTGTTTCAACATTAATTTGGGTCTTTATCATTTCTCACCTATGCTATTTCACTACCTTTCCAGCTGTTGTTTATGCTTTGTATGACTACCCTCCTTACAATACCCACTCTGTCATCAGAAGAATCTTTTAAAATACAGCTGTAGCCACATCACTCTCCCTGCTTTAAGTTCTTCAGTGGCTCCTCATTGCTACAGGATTAAATTTGCAGTCACCCCAACCTGTGTTTTCAGCCAGCCTGCTTTCTTCACTCCTTCAAAACATATTATATGGGCTTTTTCCTCCTTCAGGCTATTTGAAGGACTGGAAGAAACAAATTTATCTCCTGCAAATTGGAAAAGAAATTTAAAAAGAAAACAAACAAAAACCCTTGCAATTATGGCCAGCATGTGGACTCTCAAACTTAATTCAGAGACAATGTTGAGTGGTTAGAAAAAAAGGGATTCAGAGAGAGAGAGAGAAAGGAGAAAAAGGGACAGAACCATTAGGTATTTGCAAACTAGGAGTCAGTTGTACAGTAGTGTGGTCTAAGTGACTCAAATGGCCTAGAGCAGGACCCCACACAAAAACTGTCAATTCAAGAATGTTGTTAAGGCTGAGAATGTGGCAGCACTATGGTGCTTGACAGGGGCAATCCTAAGAGCACATTGGAGGGCAAAGGCAGCTAGCATGCACTCACATTTTTCTGGGCCTAGAACAGATGCTCAATAAACCTTTTTCAATAAATAAATAAAATGTTTAAGTTACATTTGTGATGTCTGCCATATACTGGGACTATTTTCATGAAGCAAACCCAGAAAACTGGAAAAAAAAAAACACTTATGCCAAACAGACATATTGAACAAATAAATTTTTAACAAACCTGTTTGATTTTCAGGCAGGTACCTTAGACTGTTTCCTATATTAATGGATAAGATTGTTTCATACTACATATAAAGATTAGAAAAATTCGCTTGCATGTTTAATATCCCATATCTAATTATGCCTTTTATTTTCCATTTCAGTATTTCTACACAAAAGCTTTCAAATGAATCTCGCTACATGATCTATGAGTTCTGGGAGAATAGTAGTGTGTGGAATAGGTAAGTTGTGAGCAAGCCTGATTTTATGTGAAGTCAGGAAGGTGGCAACATACATGATATAATTTTAGGATTTATAGGAAAGCTCTGTTCTTCTTATTTTTTTTACCTTACCTTAAAACCTGTCCCATTTGCCCATTACCCTGAATGCTACACACTTTAAAAAATGTATTTCATGGCTTAGAAACCACTTCTTTCTTGAAGCACAAATACTTTTGGTAATGATCTCACTTTGAGTCTTACCATTTTACTGATGTTTTCAGATAAGAAGATATAGATGGGGGTATGGGTTTCTAAAGCTGGTGAGGGTAGTGGTGGGGGTGAGACAAAGGATGCACAAAAGGAAGATGAAGAAAAAAAAGCTTTACCTCCTAATTTTTCATAAGACTATGCAGTTATTTTATTTTACAATAAAACTACATCTAATTTTTAGAATCATCTCAGCCTAGCACCTTTTAAATATCTTTTAACACTGAAAATAAAGTGGAAATTCAGGACATTGTCAAAAATTCAAAAGAAATCAGCATCTTTGAAATTAATTACTAACATAAAACAAACATATAATTTTAAAATGGAATGAAGGAAATATTTGCTCATCTGACACAATATAAACAATTCCTGACAGTTTAAAATGGTACAGAGAATATAGCTCTCTAAGTCCATGTTTAAGGTGTTAAATATGATTATGGAAGTAATAGAATACCTGGAAATTCAGTTGATTCATATTTCACCTAAACATTTTATTTCTATGGCAATTTTGAAGGCACTTTGTGCTATAATGAAGGCAATATGACACCCACAGTATTTAAGCCGTAGAGGAATAAGGTTCAACTCTGTGCTTCCAGGCCTACACTTTCAGATAGTTTTTTAGATTTCTTTTGATTCTCTAGAAATGTAGACTATACAGTCTGCCTTCTTATCTATCCTATTTTTTAAACACCTGACAGCCAAAATATTATCCCAAACTTTGCCATCTTGATTGAATTTGATCTCTGCTGTACTCAGGAATATTGTAAATAAAAATGCATAGCCTTAACCTGTAATTATTTATACAGCCACCTTCAGACAAATTATAGCAAGACATTTCAAAGAAGTAATGTGGATTTCTTGGAAACTCCAGAACTCACATCTACAATGCTAGTTCCTGGTAATTATCCTGGGTTTACAATGCTTCTGTGTCCTTTTATGTTGTTTTTTGTTTCTTAAAAGACAATATGTTCTTTCCTTCTGTATTTTATCATTGGTGCTCTCTTATTTATTTCTTTATATATCTTATGATTTGGGAGTTGGGGGGAAGAAATAAAAGATCTATATATTGGTTCTATTTTGTCCTTAGTTGACCCTATTTTGTATTTCCAGCTATATTAAACCTACAAATTAGTCATCTGCTAATTATATTAACAAACTTGAAGTACCACCAAAACACAATATTTCATGAAATTATTCAAATATTTTGCCATATTATAATTTAGTGTATTGGATACAATTTATTCATCTACCCATCCAATTACTGATTAAACATATATTTACTAAGTATTAATATATGCTAGGCGCCAGGGTGTTTAGCCTATTTACTCGTACTGATTGAGCTCTATATTTGAATAAGCATTGTGTTGGGAGCTACAGAGGGTACAAACTGAAAGCAAAACCTTTACCCATAAAGTGCTTTCTGTTCAGCTTGACAGAAAGAAATGTTTGCAAAGACAAATTTCAGCAGGGGAAACAAAACAAAACAAAACAAAACAAAAAACCAGCTCAGGGCCCAAAATCGCTGTCACCATTAGAGATAATACGTGTTTTGTAGACTTGGAGAACTGATTACTTCCTTAATAGTTTTTAAGAAAATGACTCTTGAGCTAGACCTTAAAAGATGAGATGTGGACAAGTAAGATGGAGAGGAAGGGCATTTTGGTAAATTCTGGACATGAACAAATGCAAGAAGTGCGAATGTGCTTTATTGGTGCAAAGGTGTCACTAAGGCATAAAACAGTACAAACGGAGATAGATGAGAGAGTAAGAAGTGAGGTTAAAAATGGCAAAATGATGAGTTTGAATAGTAACCTGGAGTAATTTAAGGTTTTTGAGAGGGATGATGACATTCTCATCAGTAATAACCAATAGGAGGGAGAAATGGATGTCATGGAGAGGAGAGAGGTTAACCAATCAGGGATATAATCTAGGCCAACGAAGAAAAAAAAATATCTAAGAGAAGCTTGGGGTGATGGCTTTTTTAAAATTGCATTTTAGGCTTTGGGGTACATGTGAAGAACATGTAAGATTGTTGCATAGGTAACATACATGGCAATGTGGTTTGCTGCCTTCATCCCCATCACCTATATCTGGCATTTCTCCCCATGTTATCCCTCCCCAACTCCCCACCTCCCACTGACCCCCACAGACCAACCTGTGTGATGCTCCCCTCCCTGTGCCCATGTGTTCTCATTGTTCAACGCCCACCTATGAGTGAGAACATGCGGTGTTTGATTCTCTGTTCTTGTGTCAGTCCTACAAAGGACATGAACTCATTGATTTTTATGGCTGCATAGTATTCCATGGTGTATATGTGCCCTATTTTCTCTATCCAGTATATCATCGATGGGCATTTGGATTGGTTCCAAGACTTTGCTATTGTAAACAGTGCTGCAATGAACATTCGTGTGCATGTGTCCTTATAATAGAATGATTTATAATCCTTTGGATATATACCCAGTAATGGGATTGCTGAGCTTTCTTTGAAAGTTTGGTAGAAGAAGAAAACCCTCCTTTATTAAGAAGTCAAAGGGGACCAATCAGAGGTAGGAAAATCATAGCAGTGGAGTATCAACCAAAAGAGTGAAATGCAAAGATACAGTGGGGATGAGTGGGGATGTATAGTAAGGAGTGACTAAAGAGAATGGGACTGGAATTTGGATTTGACAAGGTTGCTGTTCAAGAAAACAGTTCTAATAGAGTAATAGGAGTTTAAAATTAAAGTAGATTTTGATGGGTTGGGGAACACAGGAGTTGAAAAAGTTCATTCTGAAACTAAAGCTAGGTGAGATGAAGGAGGTCAGTTGTGAATGCTTTTGAGTTGGCTGACTCACAGCCTCAGGTGGAGCTCTAATTATGTATTTACTCTAAATCTTAAGGACAGGTTTGACCTAGAAAATAGTCTACACGTATTCTCTCACTGTAAGGCTTAAATTTAATCCTCAAACACTAACAATTTGACTCCTGCAGTTTATAAATGGAAGGAAGGCTGGGTGCAGTGGCTCACGCCTGTAATCCCAGCACTTTGGGAGGCCGAGGTGGGCAGATCTGAGGTCAGCAGTTCGAGACCAGCCTGACCAACATGGTGAAACCCGGTCTCTACTAAAAATACAAAAATTAGCCAGTAGTGGTGGTGTACACCTGTAGTCCTAGCTACTACAGAGGCTGAGGCAGGAGAATTGCTTCTAGCCTGGGCAACAGAGAGAGACTCCATCTTTAAATAAATAAATAAAATGCGGGGGACGGCGGGGAGGAATCCTAGAGTACTACTTCTGTAAATATGACTTCTGCAGACTTTGTACATAGAATGCAGGAAAGTGAGATCCACATTTTATTTCTCTTCACATTCCCTAACCTAATATAGTATTATTATAGTACAGTGTATTGCAAAAAGAAACAATTATTTCCTAAATGAAGGAATGAATAGGACTTTGGCATCATCATATTGGTCATCAGTCAAAATTTCCATGAAGTCCTGACACTTGTAATTATGTCTGCCATCACACCCATTTCCATCTTTCCTACAATGTGGAAAGAAAGGAATAAAGCTTGTTCTTATTGGTGTGTTGAGTCCTTCCAGGACAGAAAACAGCTGAACAAAAATAAAGTAGGAAAAGAGGGTAGAACAGGAGGATAATGAGTTAACAGTGGGGGGAAAAATGCTATAGCAAGAATTGAAAATGTGGAATTATCTCTGATAGAGTTTTCTGACCCAACTTCATCATTGTCTTGAATTAACTTTCTGTGCACTACTAGTATCACTGGCACATGTATTATATTACTGTTTCTCTCTCAGAGCATTTCCTAATTTAAAAAGAAAAATTGACGATAGTTAAAACTGGATCAATTCTTGTTCTGTGAATTCAGGTTCAATACAATTTAATGCCTTTTCGTTGCTGCTTTATTTTGCATTAATCTTCATATTACATTTAATTTCAACAATGATTACTCGAATTTGGTAGAACAAGAGGAAAAGTTAGGCTTGATTTCTAACACAGTGTTAAAACCTACAACATTTTAACATTTATTGGGACATCCAACCCTCTTTTAAAGTTTTATCACTGTGACAACAGGCCTATTCCAGCAAGCTGAAGTTAGCATAAAAATTTATGGTTTTATGGCCATATAACATCTAATGCTATTTTTTAAAACCAATTTTGTACAATTTTGTATGTTATAATTGTTATAAAGATTAAAAATAAAAATAATTAGCTGGGCGCAGTTGTTCATGCCTGTAATTCCAGCACTTTGGGAAGCTGAGGTGGGCAGATCACCAGGTGTCAGGAGTTCAAGACCAGTCTGGCCAACATAAAGAAACCCTGTCTCTACTAAAAATTTAAGAAATTAGCCAGGCATGGTGGCACATGTCTGTAATCTCAACTACTTGGGAGGCTGAAGCAGGAGAATCACTTGAACCTGGGAGGCAGGTGTTGCAGTGAGCTGCGATCGTGCCAGTACACTCCAGCCTAGGTGACAGAGCAAGACTCTGTCTCAAAATAAATAAATATAAATAATTAAAGATTTATTAGTTGCACATATTTATACCTAAAATTAGAATCTGAAAGAAAAAAAAGCAAGCAGTTATTACATTTAGAAATAGAGTATTAGTGGGTTTGTATTTCTAATTTAACTCACAAATTATGATTTCTGGTAAGATTGCTTTTTACTGTTAAGACTACTAAGTGGTTTACCTAAGACACATCTAAAGAAACTAGGCAACTAAGCCAGACTGCATCCAGATATGAAATGCACACTATAATATATTCCTATGACCTCTCAAATACAAAATCACTCACATGAGGTATACTAGAATATTGTAACCCAGATCCATTAGCCATCATAAACCACCCAAACAAAAGGAGTTTATGAACTTGGTCTGTGGAGCAGAATGTCTCTTGGCAATAAGAGAAAGGCCTATGGTTATGAGAAAACAGGATACAAAAGAAAGATCCTATTGCCAGCAAAGTACTCAAACAGCTTTGAAAGCAAGTTTTAATCCTTTCCATTTATCTGTTTCTCACAGCATTCCACCAATCAAACATCTTTACCATTGGTTTGTCTTTGGGACATTTATATTCACTGGGATAAACATTTATAATTTTAACATACAGATTTACTAAAATATTATTTATAACCTATCTACTTGCTTATAACCAATATTTATGAAATTCTATATGTATAAATATATGGTATTTATAAATACCATATGTATAATTACACAAATATTTATAATATGTATAAATATGTGTATATATATACTATATGTATAAATATATGGTATTTCTACATATAGGATTTCATAAATATTGAGCATATAAATACTACACACACACACACACACACACACACACACATACACACACACTACTGCCAGTATTGGGTAGATTCTAATAAGAATAACAAAATGATTTTATCCTCAGGGCATTTATAATCTTGTTGCCAAAACAAGTTCTATTCACATAGAACAAAAAAATCTTAGACTGCAACAAAGTGCCAAAAGATATGGTACAAATAACAAGCGCATAGGAAAAGTTCAATCTTGCCTCATATAGTCAAGAAATGTTTACTAGAAAGGTAAGTTATTATGCAGGCAAAAGGTAAGGGAAATTGTCTCTTTAGAAATAATTTGCACCTTGAAGTTTCTTTGCCCTATAAGATATTTTCATCATTTAAAAAGATGTTTTTCTCTTCTCAGCTTCATGGTGGATCCTGAACAACAACTAGATGTTCCTAGACATTTTCTTTATGGTTCCAAGTGCAAAACAGGTGTTCTTATCTAAAATGTCAATTAGAAAATTATCTGTGGTTGTTAATCTACTGTATACTTTTGTTTAGTATATTTACTAAGTGCACTCTTTTAAAACATATTCTATAACTTTATCATTCATGTGAATTTTAGGTCAATTTTCAGAGTTCACTATTCTCAATATTTAATGCTAAATGCTTTGCTACATTGTAACCAACCTAAAACCTTTTGTGACAAAATCCTAATATGTGGAAAAAAGCATATGCATAAAGGAATATTGTGAAAAAGAAGTTGTTGTGATAAAAAAAAAATATTTAAAGTGGAAACTTTTAGAGCATTACTTCATAGGGCAGATTTTGTAAACTGTTGTATACTATATAGGGTTAAATCAGCGTTTTGTGATTTTTAAGTAACAGATTTTCTGTGATTGAAGTTTATTCTTCAACAATGTCTACTCCACCCCCAACAGCCCTATGACTATTACCTTTAGTTAAAAAGTTAGTATATAGGCATCAAACAACCTTGGCTGTAACCTATAGAATCTCTATGTATCAAGTTATAAACTGGTTTTTCAAAAGTGAACAATTCTGTGATAAGTTGAAGTACCATTTAGTAACATAGCAACACTGTATCATTTATTAGCATTATAATTCCTTTATAAGTTAAATATATCAAGAAAGAAGAGAGTATTACTTTGGAAAAATGTGGTTCAAATTTTATGGCATATAGTTTTGGTATGCAGTCAAGACAGCTAACTTTTCTTATGAAAAATACATATTTGCATGTAAATAAGGATTTCAAAATACTTGAAAAAGTTTTAACCCAAAGGAATAAATAAGAATTATAAGAAAAGCAAAAAACCTTAAGGAAGTCATAAAATAATGGGGAAAGCACTAGACAAAAGACATCTGCTTTCTGGTTTCGACACTAGAATGACTAAAACTATCTACCTATAGATATCTACCTATAAAATTGTCTATAGATAGTATATTATCTATATAAAATTGTCTATAGATAGTATATTATCTATACTCTGCTCGACAAGCTCAGAAATTAAATATTTGTAATAATAAAAATCTGTTCTGGTTATAAACCCTGCTAATGAAAATATAATACATATAAAAATGTATTGCCATGGTATTTTCTGGTATAAATTCCTTTGAAATTATAAGTCTTCGGGGAAAAATATAAGGTAAAATATTCCTGTTTTTCCCCTTTGAAAAACTCAAAAGAAAGGAAGATTGAACTAATAAAATTTTATTTCTTAGGTATAAATTTGACCTAAAATATTTTCTCAAACTAATTCATGAAACAGCAACTCTTACCAATAACTTTGTATACTCTCAATCCTCATTCAATATCAATAAAAATTTAAAATCCTTTCATAGCTTCTATTAGAAATAAATAGGAAATTTTGATATATTATACATATACACGTGTATATATGTGTGTGTATATATGTGTATGTGTGTGCCTCTGGTCAACTCTAAGGATGACAAGCACTGTGTAACAACACCTGGGCCAACTCTTTTAATTTATATACAAAGCAAAGAGCAACATAAATGGAGATATACAATGATTATTCAAACAAGCTATACATATGTATGAAGGCAAACAGACATAACAAAACAGTCTCTGCAGACTGATTGTATACAGTAAGAAAAGATCAAAACCTAAGGGACTTTTGACAAACACTTCTTGAAAATGTTCGTTGTAAATGGTTTCAAAAATACAAATTACAGCCAATCAAAACATTGCTTTGGTTAGTCCATTGAAGTATCCAGTTCAAAAAGCATATCAAATCTTTTGGGTACTAGGCAGTTTCCAAAGTAGCATGGTAGTATTACTTGTCAAAAGGGTTCTGTTTTCAGTAACAGTACTATGTAGAAGGGGTCTGTAGATTCCAAATTGGAAATATGCTCTATCATATTCTGAAACAAGAATTAAAATGACATGAGAATGGGCAAATAATAAAGCAAGCCAATTTAATTATATGGTCATTCTGACCCCAGCTCTTATACAAATTATACATATATTTGGGCATATTTGTGAGAGTTGCATGTATGTGAACATATGTGCATGTGTGTTAACATACACATATATACTGGAACCTATTGTAGAAAAGGAAACAAGTAGGGCAAAAAAAAAAAAAAAAAAAAAAAGAAAAGAAAAGAAAAAACTGGGACCTAAGTATAAATAGCTCATTTTAAAGTAAACAATAAGTTTATAGTTAACAAAGATCTTTTTTTCTATTTATAAAACAATTCATTTTCCTAAAGAACAAAGTAATTTTTAAAAAATGATGTCACTAAAAGACCAAGGTGGGAAACGTAACATGTACTATAAGCTTGGATCTGGGAAAAAAGATAAAAAACCAGTGAAGGAAAAGGTACTAGTTTTAGGAGTTCAGAATTCAGTGAAAAAACGTTTTTGCAGTAGACCTAGGGATCTGAGAAACAGAATTAGAGAAAGTTTACACTTACCTATATATCATCAGCAGATATTTCTGGAAGAAACCTTTTTTTTTTTTTTAAACAACAGTAACATCCAGAGTGACAAACTGAAGGAGAATTAATGTATAACATTTCTAGGAATTAAAAGCTTAAACCCAAAAATTCTTCATCCATATATGTTATAAGAAATTACAGAATTGAAAGTTCAGGTACCTCAATTATTTGCAAATGCCTAAGTTATTTTGGAAATAAAAGTATCAGTTTTACTTTGAAATTGCTCAACTTCTACTATTCATATGATCTGATTAGTGACATAAGTAGCAGTTGTTTTTCAACTTCAGTTTCATTCACTACCATTGTTTCCAAATTATCAATCTCTGCTAGTAATTGTGAGTCTAAAACCATATTATTATCAAAAACCTAGAAACCAATCATATATCTGAAAAGAAATCCCTATTAAAAAATTCTCTCTCCTGTCATTGAGAACTATGCATTGAACATTCTGAATCATTCTAAGCCTCTGGAGAGACTGTAATGATCCATTCATGAGCTGGTATGAAATCAATGGGAAGCAGAACAACAAAAGCAACTTTAAAAGCAGCAAAAAATTATGTACCATATATACACTGTAGCAAATATTTTATATTTGGGAGTCTTTACAACTTACATTTCCATTCCATTATTACAAGTGATGAAAAACAAAAAATTGCAAATAGCATGCAAATTATAAATACAGTCTTACCACTTCACTAACCAAATTCTTACTTTCCCGTGTTACTTCCCAATTTATGCAGGAAACTGCCTGCAAAGCTGAAACTGATTAGAAAATTCTTTATAGTTTAAAATAGTTGTTTTTCATTTTTAGAGATGTCAAATAGCCAACCATCAAAAGTAAGAATAAATTGAATTGTCACAGTCCATTACAGTTATTGTTACTAGATCCACCTCATTTACAGATGTCCAAAATATAAAATGAATAATTCTTTATCTTCATATTCATCTGTTCTTCAAATGCTACTTAAAACTTTGGTTGTTTTCCTGTATAATAAAATAAAAGGTTAATTTACCAATTGATTGAATACAGTTTTTACTGATTAGTTTATCGAACCAAATACTGTGAATGTACCAGGTGTTTATAGATGTAAATGCATGTTACTATAGAAACTATTAAAGTAACTAGAACTGTCAAATAACAAAACAGTTCATGTTTTAAAAATATATGTAATTCATTTAAAAATATATTGTATTCCAAACCTGTTGTTCTGTTTCTGTGGCACCTAACTTTAAAAAATGTATTAATGTGTAAATCAAAAGTAAAATTAATTGTAATGTATAAGTTTGTTTAAAAAAGTGTATGTCAAACTTTTATTTACACAATAAAATGTTATTAAAGATGGAAAGTCTACAAATGAAAAGGTGACTATATAGCACTGAAGGTTATATTTATTCTTACAGACCATGAATTACATATCCCAAAGATTGTTGAACAGGTGGGAAAGTTCAAGTACATTTTTTCTTAATTAATATTCCTGTATCAGAAGTATTATAAAAATATTTTAACTCCTTAAAAAGAATTAAATCCTTAAAAGAACTTGCTAGAGATCTAAAGTTAGGGAGTTTAGGTGCCACTGCGGTATGAGGAAAAAAAAGACCTAACACCATAAAAACCCTAGAAGAAAACCTAGGCAACACCAATCAGTACATAGGCATGGGCAACAACTTCATGACTAGAACACCAAAAGCAATAGCAACAAAAGCCAAAATAGACAAATGGGATCTAATTAAACTTCAGAGCTTCTGCACAGCAAAAGAAACTATCAATAGAGTGAACTGGCAACCTACAAAATGAGAAAACTTTTTACAATCTACCCATCTGACAAAGGGCTAATATCCAGAATCTACAAAGGACTTAAACAAATTTACAAGAAAAAGCAAACAACCCCATCAAAAAGTGGGCAAAGAATATGAACAGACACTTCTCAAAAGAAGACATTTGTGCTGCCAACAAACATAGGAAGAAAAGCTCATCATCACTCATCATTAGAGAAATGCAAATCAAAACCACATTGAGATACCATCTCATGCTAGTTAGAATGCCCATCATTAAAAAATCAGGAGACAACAGATGCTGGAGATGATGCGGAGAAACAGGAATGCTTTTACACTGTTGGTGGGACTATAAATTAGTTCCACCATTGTGAAAGACAGTGTGGTGATTCGTCAAGGATCTAGAGCTAGAAATACCATTTGACCCAGCAATCCCATTACTGGGTATATACCCAAAAGATTGTAAATCATTTTATTATAAAGACATATGCACATGTATGTTTATTGTGGCACTGTTCACAATAGCAAAGGCCTGGAACCAACCCAAATGCCCATCAATTATAGCCTGGTTAAAGAAAATGTGGCACATATGCACCATGGAATACTATGAGGCCATAAAAAAGGATGAGTTCATATCCTTTGCAGGAACATGGCTAAAGCTGGAAACCATCATTCTCAGCAAGCTGACACAAGAACAGAAAACCAAACACCACATGTTCTCACTCATAAATGGGTGTTGAACAATGAGAACACATGAACACAGGGAAGGGAACATCACACACTAGAGCCTGTCAGGGATGAGGGGCTAGGAGACAGATAGCAGAGGTTGGGGGCTAGGGGAGGAATAGTGTTAGGAGAAATATCTAATGTAGATGATGGGGTGATGGATGCAGCAAACCAGCATGGTATATGTATACCTATGTAACAAACCTGCACGTTCACACACATGTACCCCAGAATTCAAAGTATAATAAAAAGAGTTTACAACCTAACATTAAAAAAATTATAATCTGAGAAAAATGCTATGAATTCCAAAGAATTAGAATCCCAAAAATGGAGATATGAGGTAGTAGTGTATATCTCCCATTCGAACTATTCTCAGTATACCTATATTCTGAGTCTCATTTCAGTAGAGTCACAGCTGCCTTTACCTAAATAAAAGCATTTATGAAAACTCTAATACAAAGTTAAATTCCAGTCAAACTTAAGTAGAGACCACAAAGAATGGGAATCATTTACTAAGTGCATAATCAGAGAAAAGTATCATACTCAGTACTCCCCTGTGTTATTTTATTAATCCTGACAGCCAGAGATTATCATCCTTATCAGCAATAGCAAATTTAAACTTAAGTAGAGACCACAAAGAATGGGAATCATTTACTAAGTGCATAATGAGAGAAAAGTATCATACTCAGTACTCCCCTGTGTTATTTTGTTAATCCTGACAGCCAGAGATTATCATCCTTATCAGCAATAGCAAAACTAGGGTTCAGTGAGGTTAAATGACTTGTCCAAACCTGAACTACCAGCACACAGAGTGGAGCTACAATTTGAAGCCATATCTGATGACAAAACCCATGTCCTCTCCAATGACTATCCTAAGATGCATGTAAGTATTTATTATGTGTATTTATTTAGATGAAATTTGATAAGGAAACAGAATTATAAAGGGCTAAGAATAGCAAAGATGTGTTAAAGAAAAATATGTGATATGATTTGTTATACTGTATAAAAGGACTAATTGAACAGAATAGATAGCCCATTAACAGACCATGCATATATTGCCACAAAGATGTCAGAGAAGTAATAAATATTTTTTAAAATGACTGGAAATCCATGTATAAAAAGGTAAAACTTGATGCCCACCTCATAGAGTAAAATTAATTCCAGGTGAATGATATAATTTAATAGAAAAAATAAAACTTTTAGAGTATGGGACAATATTTTCATGACCTTTCAATTAAGAATATTTCTTAAACAAAATGTAGCTATTCCATTCTGTTTCTTAGGTAGTTACTTTATAATAACTGGTTATATTATACCTTTAGATTTTTGCAGTTTTCTGAATTACTTATATTTTGTAATAAGGAAGGTTAAAAATCTAGAGGTAGAGTCTGATGAAAATGTTAATGGCAAATATTTTTGTCATATAATATTACAATACTACTTACTGGTTTTTGCAGTACAATGGGATGATCAGGCAGAAAGTCTGGTTTTTTTCTGCAGATGGAAACACTTGAGAGCTTCAACAGGAAATCTCTGCTGTATTTAATTCTCTCTGTAGATATTAAACATCAAATGTAATGGTATGAAATGTAGAACTATCTAGATCACTTTTTGGTTCATTTCTTTCTAGATGTCCTCTATTATTTTATAAAATGCTGAGTAGTGTCTATGCAAAAGAGAAGGAGGAAAAAAAAAGCTTTGAAAAGTATCTACTGCCTCCAATTCTCCTTTTACATAGAAAGAAAACCAAGTAACCAAGGAAAAATAAAAGAAATATAATTAGAAAAATGGGAAATGCATGGCTTTTTTCATCTGGTTATTCAAGTCTAGTAAAATGGTTTTGTATAAAGTATAACCACAGTAACAACTATTGGGCAATTCAGATCCTGTCAAAATGTAACCTTAATGAGCCTATCTCGTCTCAATCAATACTAAACATTTAATGCGATAAAAATTAATTCAATTCAAGAAACATTTATTGTACATCTTACTATGTATCAGGAACTGTGCTAGGTTAATCATGAATAGGATCCAAGATAGGGCCCCTATCTTCAAGGATAACAATGTTTCAAATATCTGCAGATTTCACATCAGGAATGATTACCAGAAATGATCACCCAGACAGATTATATGCTGTGCCAGAAGACAATGGAATAATATTTTTAATGTGCTAAAAGTAAAGAACAGTAACCCAGAATTTCATATCCAATAGGGGAAAAAAATCCCTCATGAATGCATGTGAAGGAAAGACATTTTCATATAAAGTAAAACTGAATTCATCACCAGCAGATGTGATCTTCAAGAAAGGCTAATGGAAGTTCTTCAGGCTGAAGGAAATTATACTAGATGGAGACTTTACTGTTCAGAAATGAAGAGCAAAAGAGATGGTAAATAGGTAAGTATAACAGATTCCCTTTTTTCTCTAAGTTTTATTTTAAAAAATATGTATTACTGTTACAAGCAAAAGCAGCCACAGATAATATATAGATGAAGGGTGTGGCTATGTTTCAATAAATTTTTATTTGAAAAGATATACATGCAAAGACTAGGAATAATAAGGCTTGAATTATTCTATCTTCCTATCAACTAAAAGGTAAGAATTATCAATGTGTTGTTCCTAATACACAGTTCTGAAACACATCAAGCAAAAATTAACTTACCTGAAATTTTGGGTCTGGCTTCTTTAACATTTTTGAGGTTCATCCTTAATCTGGAACATTCTATATAGCTAAACCATCAATCAAGTGTGAGAATAGAATAAAGATATTTTCAAATATACAAACTCAAAGAATTCACAACCCAATACCCTTTTTTTATGAAACTTCTGGAGAATGCACTGGGCAAACAAAATGAGGACATAAATAAAAAAAAGAAGAAAACATAGAACTCAAGAAATGGAGGTAAGTGATGTCAGGGAAAATGGCCAAGTAGAGAACGTAAAAGTCTTTCAGTCCACAAAAACAAGTAAGCTCATAAAAGCTGTCAGAATCAATTTTCTCAGAACCCTGGACTCTAACCCAAAGCTTGTAAAAACCAGGGGAATGCTTAGTGAAGAAAAAATAGCTAAATTTGGGAAAAGTTTTGTGGCACGTAACTTACCTGGGACTATTTCCCAGATAGGTCATGGCCTTGCAGATGACAGCCCTCATTACTTTTATAGGTTCCCAGCACTGGAGGGAGTAGTACAGACTTTATTTTCAAAAAAAAACTTAGGATTATTTGTTTTGACCTTTCTGGTGGTTCCCTGAAGAAACATCTCAAGAAGCTTGCCTGTACTTCACACCTAACTAAGAATTCTCCCAGCATTAAGGCTGCTACCCAAAATCCACTTGTCCAAACATTTACATGAAAATATATTAGTTGCTTCCACCTTAGACAAGGGATAACAGTTGAAGCAAACATTAGGCATACCAAAAAGCTTGGGAGGAAAGCTAATAACAAGATGCTTTGGGGAAAAAGGGCACTGAAAGAATCCCAAATATTATTTCTAGAAGCTCACATGCATGTTAAAACTAGGCTTATGCTCACAGAAAAACTTGAAAAGATCCTAAGCACTCACTACTATCTGACTTTCAGATTCCTAGCAAGCAGACAATGAAGGTGAAGGCAGAATTGACACAATACCTCAAAATAAGAGGCCTTATGCAAAGGCTTAAAGACACATTTCTTTGTTTTTCAGTTTGGTATGGTTCTAGGTACTGAAGGAAATTCTGTCAAATCACTACCTGACCACTAAGATAACAGAACAGAGACTTCAATAGTCGTGCATGACAAAGAATATAGATTTTACAGTATTCATGCAGAAAAGTCACTAAGCCAACAACAACTACTACTACAAAGAGCAACAATAAATCCAAGTGAAGGAAGAAAATCTGATTTCCAGAGTAGCTACATTACAACATTCAAAATGTCCAGTTCTCAATTACAACAACAAAAATTATAAAGCATGCAAAGAAAAAAGAAAGTATGGGCTCATGCACTGGAAAAAAGAAATTAATAGAAATTTTCACTAAGGAAGCCAAGACATTGAATTTACTAGAGAAGGGCTTTCAATAAACTACTTTAAATATGCTCTAAGAGCTGAAGAAAATTATTTTTAAAAGTGTCTCATTAAATAGAGAATATCAATAAAAAGATGGAACTTATAAGAAAAAACATAATTCTTGAGTAGTACAATAACTAAAATGAAAAATTCATGAGAGGGTTTCAACAGCAGGTAGGCAGGCAGAAGAATGAATCAACAAATTTAAAAGTAATTCAGTCTGAGGAGCAGAAAGAAAAAAGAAAATGAACAGAGCCTAAGACATTATGATCAAGCATACCAACAAATATATAATGGGAGTCCCAGGAAAACGTAGAGAAAAAAGGAGAAAAAATGACATCTGAAGAAACTGTAGAGTAAAATTTCAAAAATTTAACAACAAAAAAAGAATCCATACATCCAAGAAGTTCAACAAAGTACAAAGAATGTAGACAGTCCCAACTTATGACGGTTTGACTTACAACTGTGTGACTTTTTGATTATATGAAAGTAGTTTTTAGGTTATCAGTCTTTAAGCACAGGTAATTCTCTGACCAAAGACTTTCTGGGCCAAAGACTCTTCTATCAATTTACTATATTTTCAACTTATGATGGGTTTATTGGGAAGCAATCCCACCATAAGTTAAGGAGCATCTATCTGTATAATAAAAGAGATTCTTCACACATAGATACATCATAATCTATCAAAGTGAACAAAAATCTTGAGGTCAGAAAGAGTAGCAATTCCTCAGTTGCAATGGATTCTCTATCAGATAAACAGCTGATTTCACATCAAAAACTACTGATGTCAGAAGTCATGGGATGATGGGATGACATACTTAAAATGCTGAAAGCACAACACAAAGGTGAGTTTGGACATATATATAGGAGCAATGTTTTATATAACATCAAAACTAAGTTGATATTAATTCAAACTAGTTTGTTGTATATTATATTAATATACAACACAACAACGAGGAACATATATAGTAAAGAAAATTAAAAGGAAATAAAAATAGTACACTAGAAAATATCTATTAAACACAAAAAACAGTAATGGAGGAATTAAATAACAACAAAAAAAAAGACATATAGAAGACAAACAGATGAGAGGATTAAGTCCTTCTTTATCAGTTAATTATATTAAATGTAAATGTACTAAACTTTTCAATTATTATAAAAGGCAGAGATTGGTAAAATGAATTTTTAAAAATCATCTAAGTATATTCTGTCTACAAGAGACTCATTTTGGATCCAATGATGAAAGTAAGTTTAAAGTGAAAGACTGTAAAAGATATTCAATGCAAGCAGTAACCAAAAGACAGCTGGAGTGAGTATACTAACATTAGACAAAAATAGACATTAAGACAAAAATTGTTATAAGAGACAACAAAGGACATTTATACAATGAAAAAAGCATCACTTCATCAAGAATATATAACAATTATAAGTACATATATACACAACAACAGAAAGAAAAACACAGAATTAAGCACAGAAATAGACATTTCAACCTTAATAACTGGAGACTTCAATATCCCATTCTCAATAATGGATAGAAAAACTTTACAGAAGATCAACAAGAAAACAATTTGAACAACACTACAAGCCAACTAATCTAATGACACATATACAACACTTTACCCAACAACAGCAGAATATACATTCTTCTGAAGCACATATAGAACTACAGCACACATGTTCCACACATAGAACATTCTCCAGGATGAACTCATATATTAGGCCACAAAAGTCTCAATAAATTTAAAAAGATTCAAATCATACAAAGTATGCTCTATGACCACATTGAAATAAAACTAGAAATCAAAAACAGAAGTAAACTGGAAAATTCACAAATACATGTAAATTAAAACACACTCTTTTTTTTTTTTTTTTTTTGAGACAGAGTTTCATTCTTGTTACCCAGGCTGGAGTGCAATGGCGCGATCTCGGCTCACTGCAACCTCCGCCTCCTGGGTTCAGGCAATTCTCCTGTCTCAGCCTCCTGAGTAGCTGGGATTACAGGCACGTGCCACCATGCCCAGCTAATTTTTTGTATTTTTAGTAGAGACAGGGTTTCACCATGTTGACCAGGATGGTTTCGATCTCTTGACCTCGTGATCCGCCTGCCTCAGCCTCCCAAAGTGCTGGGATTACAGGCTTGAGCCACCGCGCCTGGCTTAAAACACACTCTTAAACAACCAACGGATCAAGGAATAACAACAGGGGACTTAGAAAATACGTGACAAATGAAAACAAAGTCACAACATATCAAAACTTATGCAGTAAAAACAATGTTTGGAGCATAGTTTATAGTTATAAATGTCTATTTTAAAAAAGAAATAGCTTAACTAAATAGCATTACACATTAAAGAACTAGGATAAAAGAGCAAACTAAATCAAATAATAGAAAAAATGAACTAAATAATAAAGATCAGAGTGAAGATAAATGAAATAGAGACAAAAAAAAAAAAAAAAAAACCCAGAGAAAATCAGCAAAACCAAAGGTTGGTTATTTGAAAAGATAAAAGCTAACAAACCTTTACCAGGACTGATTAGGAAAAGAATGATTCAAGTTACTAAAAACACAAACAATGGTCTTGCATCCTGAAACTTTGTTGAATTTATTTTTATTAGCTCTAATAGTCTATGTGAATTCCCTAGGATTTTCTATATATACAGATGCTCCTCAACTTACAATGGGGTTATATCCTAATACACCCATTTCAAGTTAAAAACAGCAAAAGATGAAAATGTATGGCTGACTAGGAGTAGCATCTTGCTGATGCTGCCAGCATCATGAGAAAAGTACAGTTTCTACTGAACAGATACTGTTTTTGCACTGTCATAAAATCAAAAAATTATAAGTCAAACCATCTTAAGTTGGGGATCATCTGTATAGGACTGTGTTCTCTGTGAATAGAGATACTTTTACTTCATTTTTCCCAATTTAATGTCATTTGTTTCTTTCTCTTACCTAATTACTATGGCTAGAACTTTTAGTATAATACTGAATAAAAACAGTGAAAACAGGCACCTGTATCTTGTTCTTGATATTAGGGGACAAGCTTTCAGTCTTCACCATTGAGGATGATTTTAGCTGTGAGATTTTCATATATATATTTATCATGTTAGTTTCTATCAAGAAGGGATGTTGGGCTTTGTCAAATGCTTTTTCTTCAGTTGAGATGATCGTGTGTTTTCCCCCTGAATTCTATTAATGTGGTGTATTGTTACTGATTTTGATATGTTTATTCACCCTGCATTCTTGAGATTAATCTCACTTGAACATAGTATATAATCTTTTTACTATGTTGATAGTAAAAAGTTTTTGTATTTTATTGAGGATTTTTGTATCTATATTTGAAGGGATATTAGCTAGAGTTTTCTTTTCTTCTGGTCTTTGGCTTTGCTATCAGACTAATATTGGCCTTGCTGGAAGCATTCTCCCCTCTTCATTTTTTTGGGAAAAGTTTGAGGATTAGTGTTAATTGTTTTTTAAATATTTAGTAGAATTTACCAGTGAGAAGCCATCTAAGTCCTGAACTTTTCTTTTTTGGGAGGTTTTTAACTACTGATTCAATCTTCTTACTTGCTATAGGCCTATTCAAATTTTCCATTCCTTCTTGAGTTAGTTTTGGTCAATTCTGTGTTCCTAATAATCTTTCTATTTTATCAGGTTATCAATATTTTTGGCATACAACTAACTTCACAATATTCTCATATTTTTTATTTTCATAAATTAATAGTAATGTCCCCCATAAAATAAATTTATTTTATATATGATCAATGAACAATGAAAAATTCCATATAGAATAGCATCAAAAAATAATACAGTACTTGGGAATAAATTTTACAAAGAAGGTACATGACTTGTACACTGAAAACTATAAAATACTGCTAAAAGAAGTTAAAGAATATCTAAACGGGAAGATTTCTTATGTTTATGGATTGTCAGATTTAATATTGTTAAGACGGCAATATTCCTCTTGAAGTGATATATAGATTCAATGCTCTCCCTATCAAATTTCTAATGGCCTCTTTTGCAGAAATGGAAACACTGATTTAAAAAAAAAAAAAATTACATGAAATTGCAAAGACCCCTAAATAGCCAAAACAATTTGGAAAAAGAACAGATTTGGAAGACTTACACTTCTGAATTTTAATAGTTACTACAAAGCTATGGTAATCAAAAAAGTGTGGTACTGACATATAACATATTTTATATGACAGGCATATAAATCAAGAGAACAGAAGAATCCAGGAATAAACACATTAAACACATACACCTATTGTCAACTGACTTTTCAACAAAGGTGCCAACACCATTCAATGAAAAAAGAACAGTCTATTTTACAAATTATGATGGGACAAGTGGTTATCTGCATGACAAACAATGAAGGTGGCCCTCATATATAGAAATTAACTCAAAATAAATCAAAGACCTAAATGCAAGAGCTAAAGCTATAAAACTCTTAGAAGAAAACAGGAGTAAATCTTAGATGTGACAATGATTTCTTAGATATGGCATCAAAAACATGAGCAACAAAAGGAAAAAAACTTCATCAAAGCTAAAAAATTTTGTTCATTAAAAGACACTATCAAATGAATAAGAGAAGCTCCAGTAGAGAACAAAAAGACGGTATATATACAAATGCATACACTGGAAAGAGAAGGGTGGCAGGAAGAAGACGGAGGAGAATAGATAATAGATAAGAGTCTAATATCCAGAAGTCTTGCAACTCAATAACAAAACAACTCCATAACAAACAACCCAGTTAAAATATTGTTAAAGAACTTGAATAAAGCATTTTTCCAAAAAAGAAATAGAAATGGCCAACAAGTACATGAAAAAACAAAATAATTAATCATAAGAAAAATGCAAATCAAAACCACAATGAGATACTACTTGTTACCCATTAGGATTGCTTATAATAAAAAGAGATTATAATAGCAAGGCTACTCAGATATTGGAAACCCAAGTACCTTGCAACTAAGAATGTAAAATGGTAGAACTGCTGTGAAAAAAATTTGGCAGTTCCTTCTAAACACAGAATTACCAATGAATCAGCAAGTCTGCTCCTAGGTATATACCTGAGAGAAATGAAAACAAGTGTTGAAACAAAAACTCGTACACAAATGTCCACAGCAATATTATTCACAAAAGCCAAAAAGTGAAAACAACTCAAATGTGCATCAGTTGAGAATGGATAAACAAAATGTGACATAATCCATATAATGGAATATTTTTTAGTCATAAAAAGGAAAAAAGTACTGATAGTGCTAAAACAGGATGAACCTTGAAAACCATATGGAAAGTAATAGAAGCCAGACACAAAAGATCACATGTTGTTCACAAGAGAAAGATAAATGTATGAGGTGATGGATATCTCAATTTCCCTTATTGATCTTTACACATTGCACATAGGTATCAAAATACCACATGTGCCTCCAATTATTTTAATTGATATAAAAGATGTAAAGCTATTACTGTGCATTTATCAATTGATATATCAAAAAATAAATTGAAAAAAGATCACATATTATATAATTCCATTTATATAATATGGCCAAATAATAAATCCAAATAGAAATAGATTAGTGTTTACCACACGGCCTAGGCAGAGGGGAGAGAAAGTAGTAACAGCTTAATGAGCATAAGGTTTCTTTCTAGGGTGATAAAAATGTTCTGGAATTGGTAGTATTGTTGCACAACATTGTGAATGTACTAAAAGCCATTGAATTGTACATTTTAAAATTGTTAAAATGGGAGTGGGTAAACTCTGCTTCAATTTTTTAAAAAGGAAACCAAAGGATTATAAAGGAATATCCCAAGATAACAGCAAAGGCCCACTGCAGAAAAATAGCTGTACAGCAGTACTAAAGGACAACTAGTCCATATCGGAATAGGATAATGGAGTATTCTGAAAGGAATGTCCCATCTAAGGAAAAAAAGAACGGATATACTTGAGCATAAATATAAACAAGTGTGACAGAATTGTCAGAGCATTTTAGGAAAAGAATTAACAATAGATAACAGAAAAATAAGGTAACCGTTAGCTCTAGAATAAGTAAGTAATTGCATGAAAAGGAAGATACGCACCTATTGGCTAAGCAGCTATATTTTACACAGTCATAATAGTATAAAGAGTGAGTAACACTTTAATTGAAACTTGTGAAATAATTACATGGTGAGGAGATGGAAGGGTGAAGAAGCAAAGGAACTTAAGTTCTCAATTACCAAGATAAAACATCAATATATAGTTTTTAAAAATTGAAAAATTTGAAAATAATTGTATTTAGAAATATGACGATAAATATTAGAAAAATCTAATGGTATTTTCGTATGTCAAACTTTTAAACTACATACATTGATTGACAAAAATTTGGAAACTAAATTAAATCATTTTATTTTCTTTTAAAATAGCTAGTGTGGGAGAGACTATTGGTTCTCCCCTAGAGCAGTTCTTTCTTTTTATATCAGTAATAGAATTAACTGACTGTATTGCTAAAGGCTATGTTTCCCAGTCTACCCTGGTAGGGTAGGCTGCCTGGTAGGCACAGCATGACCAAGTTCTGGCAATGGGATGTAAGTGGAAGTACTATGTGCAACTTCTGGGTCATACTCTAAAGGTGAATTTCCTTCTCCCTTTCCTCCTTCCTAATGGCAACACAGGGAACATGATGGCAAGAGTACAGGCAGTTATCTTGAGCCCATGAGACAGAAGCCATGTATTGAGGATGGCATAGCAATAAGGTAAGAGAACAATAGGAAAATACAAACTTCACAGGGAAAAATCATTATGACAGTTCAGAATTTTACATGATACAGAAAATCTAGTAATAAATTTCTATGTTGTTTATGTGATTGTATTCCAGTGTCTCCTTGAAAGCAGTCAAACTGGTAGCCTGACTTATACAGATAGAAGTCAATCTAAAAATATATAATAAAATTTCCTATTTACATAGGTTTGGATCTAAGCAATAAAATAATATTAACTTTATGAATGCTAGGACATTCTATGTTGAAATTGGGAATTATGATAAAATTTTACCTTTTTTAACTGGAGACTGATGTTGCTGCTGTTCATTAAGACCTTGTGAAAAGGCTTGCATTCCATTCGTCTTACACTATTGAACATGAAGAAAGTAATTTTTTAACTTAGGTTTTAAAATTGTATATAATTCATTTAACTACCCAAAAATATTTTCCTAATAATAAATGTATTAGTCAATCCTTTTAGTGGGGGCTAAGTAATAGCAATCATTATAAGTCTGCTTATTAAAATGAGCAACAAAAACATCTTTCAAAATATATTCACATATATCTATAGTTTTTTGACATTATTATGATTATTAAAAAGGAAAATAAAACTAAAGATGAATTTTATTGTCCTAAAGATAAATAATTCCATAGCCATTAAAAATTTTTTTCCTGAAAAAAATGCCATTCAGAAGAAAAATTTAATTGATGAAAACAACACATTTTTATTCACAAAAATTCTGCAGCAATACTACTTTTTAAATATCTGAAGTAGAGACTGACGTAACTTTATAGGCATATGGACTATTTCATCTAATGCCTTAGAAATAAGATAAATAAGAAAAATTGATGTATCTGATGAGACAAAGAAAATCAGAAACACTGGCAGAGCTCTATGTCTTGAAGAGAGATGCCTTAGTGCAGAGTTTTTCCAGTCTCACTTGCAAGAGCATCTTTATTATAAGATTGGCTAAACTAATCTAATGATATTTTAAAAATCAATTTTTACCTAAATCCCTTTCTTCTGATTCCATGCTCACCAAGAAATATTCAGATTCAATATAGCTATCCATAAATTTCCCTAGAAGTAAACAATACACTGGTTGTACCAATAAGAGGAACTCAGAACACAAGATGTCAAGATTTCTAATTAAAAAATAATTGGTGTTCTGATTTTATAAATCAGTTTTATAAACTTGGTCAATAACTATCTACCCCTGAGAGATGATCTCCTCTTGTGCTGACAAAGTCAGTTTGCAAACCATCCCTGAATTAAGATAAATCATGAAGGCAGGTTTCTTTGGAGGAGACATTTATCCTGAAAAATAAATATCTCTGCTCCATCACTGTATTGACAAATTACACAGAAATTAAATTTCTGTAAATGCTAGCTACTCCATGTAAGGCAGTAGGACTAATTATCTAATGATATGACACAATAAAGTCCATGGAGATAATTCTCACTATTTAGTCAAGAATGTCATCAGAAAAAAAAATCAAGTTGTAGTAGAGCTTTTTATTTTTAAGCAGAGATAGAAAAAATGGAAAATGTCTATGATTTGGGTTCTCCAAAGATCTTCTAGACTGTTGTATTTAATTGACTATAAAATGGTATTCTACAAATAAAAAACGATTTCTAATCTCTGGAAATGTTAGCAGATGTACACTTCACTAACTTTTAACATCTACTTAAATGTAAGATCTAAAATCAAACTTGAAGGTAAAATTATACTTTGTCATGTCTGTACATATTAAAATTTTAAAATGATTATTTTAAATCTTAGTAATGTGAAAAGTATACCTACAAAAAGTTTTACACAGTGATCATCTATATGTTATCTCATTAATTATAATCCTATAAGGAATAAGGCAAGTGTTATCATCATTGTGTTATAAGTAAGGAAAATCAGACCAGAAGAGTGTCAGAAGTGACACTGTGTTAATTTCCAGTCCCCTATATTAAGAGACTGGCAACTTATACCTCCTGTCTCTTTGAACATTAGTCTTAGAACCCACATGTAGTGTTATAAGAAGCACAAGCCACTTGGAAAGGCCATTTGTAGGTGCTCACTTCAGTTTATAGTACTAGCTGAGCTCCAAGCCAATAGCCAGTATTAACTGACAACCTATTGGCAGGGTAGACTGGGAAACAGTACTAGAAACAATCCAATGTTTGTCAACTGATGAATAAACAAATTGTTGTATATTTACAGTTGCATTCTATTCCACATTAAAAATCCAACTACTTATATATACAACATGAAAGGATCTCATAAACATAATGCTGAACAAAAGAACCCAACACCAAGAAATACATATTATCTTATTTCATTTATATGAAACTCTAGAACAGTCAAAACTAACTTATCTATCATTAAAAGAAGCCGACCAATGGATGTATGGAGCAGGAAGGAGGGTTTGGGGTTAGTATAAGTGGAGGCAGTAAATGATTGCAAAGGAACATAGGACATTTTGGAGGAAGATTGAAGATTTTCATTGTGGGGTTCATTACATAGATAAATATTTCCAAAACTCACTGAACAAATGAGTTCACTTTACTGTATGTAAATTATACCTCAATAAAGGTGATTCAAAAATTTATCAAGTATCTCTAACATAGGTTCTAACAGCTTTTGCAATATAATGGAAGCAGCAGACAAAATTGTATGTTTGGAAGTAATTTAACTCCATAATTTGATTTTTCTCTATAAAACTGCAATATTAACATATTAATTTTTTACATATAAAGTAAAAGAAGGTCAATGATTCCAAAAAGTAATGAATATTACTGTTGTATTAGGGAAATGTTAGCTGCCAGAACAAATAAAATATTTCTATGACTTATAGAAAGCTTATAATAAAGCCAGTGTAATTAAGACATCATGATATTGATATACAGAGACACAAAAATGATCACTAGAACAGAATAAAGAGCCTAGAACAGAAATAGCTACATGAAAACTTATTATCTAATAAAGATTCCACTATAAATCAGTGTGGAAAGGATGAATTTTTCAATGACTTATGCTTTATAATCAGTTGCTTTTAGGAGAAAAACTAGATTTCTGTATTACACCATCAAAAAAATCATCTTCAGGTAGACTATACACCCAAACATGAAAGCAAAACCTTAAATTATTTGGAAGAATACACAAGAAAATATCTTAATTTTGGGACTGCAAAGACTTCTTAAGTGAAATCCTAAAGAAAAACATTGACATTAATATTTAAAACTTTTAAACAAAAAATGACTCTCTCATAGACCATATTCCTGGAAAAGAAAATATTTGTTATGAACATAAGAAAAATAATTAGAATCCAGACGGTATTTTAAAGGCATATAAATAAAAAAGAAGAAAACCCAGGAAAAGTAGGATAATGATATGAACTGGCAATTCACGAACGAGAAAATCTGAATGATCAAACTAAACATATGAAAAGATGCTCTACTTCACAAGTAACAGAGAATTAAAAATTAAAACCAACCAAAATACATAATTTCTCATCCACTGTCTTACCCAATGTTCAAGTTTGACAACAGCAAGGTGAGGACGTAGGAAAAATCAGAGCCCTTGCTCATACAAATTGCATTAGAAAGTAATTTGGCAGTATCTAAAAGTTGAAGTTAAGAATACTTAGCAAATCTATTCTAATTTTATGACAGAGAGAACCTCTCAAACCTGTAAAAATGAAACATATAGATGGCAGTCATGGTAGCATTTATTATAATACAGTAACAAGTGCCATCAACAGAAAACAGAAAAAAAATGTGGTATAGCCATATATATTAAAAGATTGTTCTGTATCAGCACATATTGAACTGCTTTATTAATTATAAAGTTGCCTATTATTCCATTTATGAATATACTTATGGTTGTGCATGCATAGTCTATTCCTGGATAAGAAATAGTATCTAGAGGCTGGGCACGGTGGCTCACACCTGTAATGCCAGCACTTTGGAAGGCCAAGGCGGGTGGATCACCTGAGATCAGAAGTGTGAGATCAGATCAGCCTGGCCAACATGGTGAAATCCCATGTCTACTAAAACTGCAAAAAAAATTAGCTTTATGTGGTGGTAGGTGCCTGTAATCCCAGCTACTCAGGAAAATTGTATTTTTTTTACTAAGTAGCCACAAAGTTTAAAATTTAAAATATATAAAATGACATTTATCGAAGTTTCCCTCGAATCTCTGTCCCAGTCTCCTATTTCCTCTGATCAAAAGTAAGCATTGCACCAGTTTCTTATCCAGATGCATTATACCAGTTTCTTTTCTAGATTCTTTCTTTCTTTCTTTCTTTCTTTCTTTCTTTCTTTCTTTCTTTCCTTTCTTTCCTTTCTTCTTTCTTTTTTCTTTCTTTTCTTTTTTTGAGACAGAGTTTCACTTTTGTTGCCCAGACTGGAGTACAATGGTGCAATCTTGGCTTATATTTTAAATTTTAAACTTTGTGGCTACTTAGTAAAAAAAATACAATTTTTAATAAAATGTAAAAGCAAAAATGACAAAAACACATTTATGTAAAACTTAAAACAATTCTACTTATCATAGCAAATATACAAATGTATTCATGGAAAAACTAACAAATTAAAGATAGTTATCTATGGGCAGGATGGTAAAGAAATGGGATGGTAGAAGCATATATATATAGGGTTTGTAACTGTTAAGTTTTTTTCTTTAAACTTTTTTAAAGCAAATATAGCAAAATATTTAGATTTGCAAATGCTGGGTGACAGATTAATGCATGTTACATTCTCTTCAACATATGCTCAAAATACACAATAAATTTTTAGTAAGTATATAAAGCATAGTATCTGGCACACAATAGCCATCTAACACATGTTACTTTCCAATCTATAATACTTCTTTTTATTTTAATTTCCAAGACTTACTCTGCTAATAACTCCACCTTGTATGCACTGAGTGTTGCATGGATATTCATTTTGAAAGCTGAAAGGGAACACTGCTCCTGTTTGGAGAGGGAAAAATGATTTTATATAAAAATGATTTTAAATAACTATTATGTCAATAAATAATATCATCAACTAAAAAGCTTAAGTATCCAGGATATTCTTGGCACTGTTTTGAATTGTGTTCTGATAGCTGATTTATTCAAAATTCATCCAGCCTTATGAAATGTCAGATGCTGTGTTAAAAGGATGGGCATACAGACATGAAAAGAGTTCAGAGATAGGAGTTCACAGTCCATTTTAAAAGACAAGCTCATATATAATGATATGATTTGATAAATGTAAGTTTATTGAGAGATTTATAGAAAGTACTAGGGCAAGCAGAGTAAATTTGGGGTATTGCATAGGTTTCACAAGCTGAAGTAATTAAATCTGAATCTGAATCTTAAAAGAAAAAGTAGATAATTCCTTTAGGGATCTGCATTGGCCAGGGAGTATAGTATGTAAGCATGTTAAGAAACACCAAAATTAATTTGTTTTACTAGACTTTTCTGCCTAAAAATTCCCTACTCTGCTGTCTGGATCTTAAGAAGATACAACTAAATAAGATACCAGGGCTACCTGCCCACCTTGTATTCCCCCTCATTCTCATTCTTCCATGTAACAATCTTGGAGAGAAACCAGTGAAAAATTGGATCTGCAGAGATGAAGTCGGGTGGGAGTTGCTGGAAAAAGTTAGGTCACAGAAAAGAACTGCTGCAATGGCTTTATATTCTTTCTTTTAGGATAAAATTTGAGACCTGACCCTACACAACTGCTTCTACTGCACCAGAAGTATACAGAATCAGCATTAGTCAGCTATGGTACCAAAAGATCCATAAATTTCATTGATCTGACCTAAGTCACAGGCATATTGAAAGCAAACATGACCAATGTGGAGATTATCTTCCTTGAAGGATCCAATGATGGGAAAATGAATACAAGATAGAAACTGGTAAACACTTCCACGTTTTTGCTTCATTTGTAGACTCAATAAAATATATTTCCCTTTTCTAAGCAGTAAGTTAATTCAGTTGAATACCCAGACTAAGAAAATTTTTTTAAAGTTGTATATATATCACCTAAAGTAGACACAGAAGCCATTCTGGCAACAAGTAATGAATAAAATTAAAAGACTAATATTCCAATTTAGAAGTTAAATACCAGGTATTTCAATAATTTGTCCAAAAGAATATTTTCATGGGTAAAAGAAAAACATTTTAGAACGGTTAAAATAAAATTTTTTAAATTAGATATGTTCCCATTCAAACACAGCCATAACCTCTATCAGAGTACAAGTATGACACAACTACTACAGAATCTTTAAGCTTTATGCTAATCTTTTTTTTTTTTTTTGCATTTAGGTATGCCCTTATTCTTTTAAAAGGTTAAATTATCTCTCCAGCATGATTGCCCTGCATTGATCATAATCACAGGGTACAATTTGTACTGGGAGTATCACTCTGATCAGAAACCAGAAGCTTACAAAAAGGAGACATGAAAAAAACCACACACACAAAAAGTTACTTTCAGTCAAGGGTTATTCTTCTTACCTTTGTTGGTCTATAAGACTATAGATTGGTAGATAATTATGAATCCTTTTCTTTCAGTAATACTTACAAACTCTTAGTTTTCACTATTTCTTTAAATATCCACCTGAAACAATTACTTTATATATGAGTTAGCCTTTCAAATACAAATTAGCCATTAATAAATTAATATTTAAAGAACTGTACATTCTGTTACTCACCGGGTGGAGAGGTCAGATGACGAACAGGTCTTGCTGGTTGAAGCGGTTTACCAATTAATTTTTTGGTTTCCATTGTCACAAAGACCTTGAGGTTCCATACTTGAAGATGAAAAAATACATTTTTATCTTTTGGACAAACAATCAAGATGCTTTACATATATACAGATAACTACAACTTTTTTTTAAAGACACCTATATTATAAGTTAAAGTGGAAAACACAAACACAAAAAAGCATTTAATATGCAACACTCAGACTTCTTTTATAGCATTTGTCACAGTTAAATATTCCCTTTTTAAAACATTTTCTTTCCTTAACTTTACTGACTCTATATTTCTTTTTTTTTTCTTTTGAGGCAGAGCCTCACCCTGTCACCCAGACTGGACTGCAGTGGCACAATCATAGCTCACTTCAACTTCAAGCTCCTGGGCTCAAGAGATCCTCCTGCCTTAGCCTTCCAAGTAGCTGGGATTACAGGCATGAACCACCATATCCAGCTGTTTTTTTTTAAGAGATGGGGGTCTCACTACATTGCCCTGGCTATGTTCTTTTGGTTTGTTTCCTATTTATTTGATTGCCTCTTCTAACTTCCTTAGCTGATTCCTCTTCTTCTGTCTTAAATTAAATGTAGGGGTTTTTAGAAATTTGGCTTTGGTCTTCTTAGTTAAAACTCATCTATGCTCATGGTTGCAACTTTCTATCTATAAGATAAATACGCACTAATTTATACTTTCAGCATCCACTTCTCTTTTAAACTCCAGTTATATTTTTCTAATTGTTTAATAATATTTCAATTTATATATTATCACAGGTACCTCAAATTCAATATATCCAAAATCAAATTAATAACTTTGACTCCTGTATTCCTTTAAAGTCATCACCATCTACCTCAGAACGCACTTGGTAAAACAGCCTTCAATTTTGACAGTCTAAATTTAGAGCCTCTGACCCCAAAATCAGTCTTTAATTCCTGTTCATACTACTTCCAAGATATTAATGTTGTTTCACCATATATCTGGACATTCAAGTGTTTAGTTTAGAGTTCCCTCACTATCTCTGTTGCTCTTCTTCCAAACAGCTATTTATCTGTCAAGATAAAGACGAAGTTCTTGCCACTTTCTGGGAAAATATCCTCATGTCTCAACAGGTAAGGTTAAATAAAATAGTATAATAATAAACTAATAATAATAATAATAATTCCTCTTTCCTTACATGCCTTCTCCATTGGTCCCTATTGTATTTTGTTTATCAGTTTTTCTAAAATAAATCATAATAAATATATTACATGTCTATTTGATTGGACTATCAGTTAGTGGAGGCCACAAAAATTAGACCTTATTTATTTTTGTATTCTAATATCTGCAACATAGATTTACTAAATAAACTACATAAAGTACCTTGTCATTCCAACTGAAATCTGACGCCTGTATTGGACACCAGATTTCCAAATTTTGATGCCCATCAAGACAAAGTCAAAGTAAAACTCCAGTTGCTCCTGCACCTGCTTATCCAGAAATAATTGTAACCATATGACACTAAGCAAATAATAAGTCTAAGTGACTGTTTCCCCAAGTATAAGATAGAGTTAGTAACTCCTTAAGTTTCCATAAATGCTTTATCCTATTTTAAAATATCTTTGGACATATATAATTCAAAAGTTAAAATTATAAACTTATCAACAATTTCCCCAAATTAGGAATGATAACTAAGCCCCCAAAAGCTACTATTTGGAGATAAACCAGCAAGTACTACAAGTTAATACCTACCCAGCTTTGTAATGTGTTTGTTAACTAGTTTTTCAACATGGCAATTAAAAACCTCTAAACAAAACTAATGCTCTCTGTACTTGTTGGGCAGTACAACTTGATATAACCAGAAGCAAAAAAAAAAAAAGAGTTATAAGCACAAGTAGAAAAAATACTTAAAATAAATGTTATTAGTATTTTCCATGTGGAAGAGTATATTTAAAATAAGGACCAAAAAGCAACCTACTATACATTGCTTTATAAGATATTTATCCTACCTATTTTAGTTAAGATCCCAATACTAGTATGTAGTAACTTTCCATCCTATTCCCCATATGAAACTAGTGAATCAGAATACAATAGAATAGAGTACTTTGGCACACACTTCCTTGTTTTTCATTGCTCAGCTGAAATTTAGTTGTAGGTTGTTAAGTCTTTTCCAAATGCTGAGCAAGGCAAATCCACAGTATTCAAACTAGGGATTTTCAAGAGTTGAGGATTACAGAACTCTGTTACATGAATTTGCAACACAAGTAAATAAATAAAAATTAAAGGCTCTTTTGTTGCCACCTACCCTTCAGTTTACAGTAGGAAAGATACAGCAACAGCTCCCTTTATATAAATACATATCAGTTAAGGAAATGAATAGATGGTGTCATGCAATATTCTGTTTAATATTTTTTTTTAAGTGAACTATGCCCGCATGGAATCATTGACATTATAGGGGACAAGTTTGGGATTACAATGCATACTACATCTCACCATCATGTTATTAATAAAAAAGGTTAAGTGTTTATGTAAAGTAATTATTATTGTAAAACAGATTCATGGGATTATAATTAAGGAAGGACTCCATAAACCAAAACCGAATTCTCAGTTTAGTTAAAAATAATAAAGATTTAACTGCACTGCAAAGTCTTTATACAAAATAAGTTCAATCTTAGACTCTAATGCCTGCTTAATCCATGGAATGTAGAGACCAAAAAATTTCCCCTGAAGCTACTGGTACTACCTAGAGTAGGCATGTATGATGCCAACTATTCAAAGCACAGTTAAAAAAGAAACAGAATTCTGCCTACAACACTGGGTAGCAAGTAGTGGGCCTATCATAATGTTGTAAAATGTAAATTTTAAAATGTAAATGTATACTTACATGGCATAAATGTTTTTTAAAGGATATGAGCCAACATCTCCAAAAAACTTTCTATTAATACATGCTGAGAAATGGTTGCTGAATCGTTTTTGTTTTTTTTTTTTCAATTTCACGTACACTTCACAAATCATCTTTAAAGGCCAAGTTGTATGAATAGAATATTGGTAAATCAGTTATTTACAGTTGCTATTCTACATCTGGCAATACTAACTATATCTTAGGTTCCTTTTCTGTTTTAAAAAATTCATGTAAGTATGAATCCTCAGGCCCTATCAATCCTAACGTAACCAATAAACCTAGAATTTTCTAAAATACAATGGGATAATAAGCAGATATACTGACCAATTTGGACAAAATCTTATTAATCTTATTTTTAAATTATCGTGCCATTTTTAAGGTCCTACTACATACTAAATGCCTTACATATATCATCTCATTTAATTTTAAGCAATATATGAACTGTGGAAGAAAATTATCATTAGCTCCACTTTACAGATAAGAAACCTGAGGCTCAGAAAATAAGAGACATGCCCAAGTCCACACAGCTACAAAGTACTAGACGTCAGGAATTGACTACAAAGTTCACACTTTTGTACCAAAACTTGCCTATTTGGTACATAAAAGAAAGACATCTGACTTACCATTTATTCCATGTGAACACTGTGTGTAGAGATATAAAAATTAATGATGAAAAGTAACATTTATTAAAGCCACGCAGAATAAATTGGTACATGCTAATAATTTCCATTTCCTCAATTTACCATTTTTCTTACAATACTAAATTAGGGAGTACTGTGCTTTCCTCACGCTACAGACATGGTATACTGCCATACTAACCACAGATCACAGCATGTAAAACATAGTATGCACTGTTTTTAGAAGCTGAGTACTATACTTAAAGTCTAACATAAATTCTAGTCTTCTTTGGAAAGTGCTGATGATTCCGCTGCCGTTGAGAAATGAGGTCATATGAAGTGAAATGATGAAATGAAAAGACCATATTTGCATTTACCTTGTATGTATTTCCTATATGATAACCAGATAAAATTTCATCTCAATTTCCAACTTCAAAACATTACAGAGTTAGGATTCCTTGAAACCAAATGCTGCTTTTAAGTAAACTGCTCATACTAACAAAATGACAGACGAAAAGTAACATACAGGACATTTCGGGGAGTAAGAAATAAACCACTTATGACTCAAGAGGTGAAAGACATTTCATGTTTCACGTATCTGGTTGCACTATTAAGAAACAATTAAAATGAAAATATCAAAAAACTAGAAGCTAAGAAGAGTTCCATCCTATTTTCCATTTCATTCCTTCTCTTTATAATTAATTTAAAAAATTTTTTTGGTCCATTTGAGGGATTTCTCAAAACAAACACAATTTAACATTTAGATGGGCTAAAGCGGTCCAGGTAATAGGTGTCTGTGATTACTTTAGTCATGTAATTGTCCTTTACGTAGCTTTGACTAAAACGGCAGCAATGAAAACCTGTGCCACCAGGTGTAGGGGGCAGATCGCCTTGAAAGCCTCCCACCGCCTGGCAGCAGGTGCTGGGGCAGAGCCGGGGGAGCTGTGTACTGAGCTCCTTTTTTGGCGGTGGCTGTGGTCTCGGCTACTCGGCCCTCCGCCGGGTTCCCCCGGCACCCTACACTTTCCTTCCCCGCTTCCAAAGCGTTCACTCCCATCCCACTCCCACGTTAGGGTCCACATGGGGCCGAAGGGGCCCTCAGAGCCTTCCCGACCCACCTCAGAGCTGCTCTCCCTCGTCTCAACTTCTCCGGGGTGGGGCCCGGGAGACGGCGCTCACCCGCCTCCTCGCACCGCGGGACTTGACGTTCGTCCCCTAGTGTCTCTCATCCTCCCCCGCCACTTACCGCCTCAAGATCCACGAGGATTTCGGGGTAGCAGCGTCGCCGCGCTCAGCGCAGACTTGGAGGCCGAGCGCCCCGCTGCCCGTCGGAGAACGGCTCCAGCCGCTCTTCCGCTCGCTGACCCGGGGGGCGGCGGCGGGGGGCGGGGCGGGAGGCGGCTCCGAGGGGCGCGAGGCTGGCCCGGGCGGGCACGGGGCGTGGCCTCGGGCGCCGAGCCCGAGAGCGGCAGCACGCCTGCGCGGCTGGAACCGTTAAACAGGTGGCGCGCGCTTCTCCGGGTGCGCTGGGCACGTGGGGTGGGAGCGACGGCGCCGGGAACCGGCCGTCGAAGGCAGGAGGCCGCGAGTGAGGTGAGGTGCTGATAGGCTGGACGGAGCGCGCCTGCGGGAACGGCCTTCGGGACCCCAGTGCGTGTCCCTGCTTGTGCAAAGACGCGGCGGCGCGAGGCGAGCCGCCTGCTAGGGCCTGGCGGCGGGCTCCCGGCAGCGTCTGTGAGGGAGGCCGCCTCTGTGAGGGAGGCCGCCGTCGTGCTGACGACCGAGCCCCGCGCCCCCCGCCCCGTCCCCCCCCCGGCCGGTCGGAGCGGCAGGCAGGCCCCGCTTTCCTCGTGGTGCATTTAAAGCGTGCCAGAATTCGGGTTGGCAGGGAGGAAGCTGTTCGAGACACGGTTTATGTGGGATGGGTATACAGCGTTCCACGCAAACTGCCATCCTGAAAGGAACAAAATGAATGAAGGCAACTTATTTCTCTTTAAACGTCACCGTCCGTCCTTTTGCTCGTTTTTGTTATCTTTGAGTGTCCCCTCTGGGGACACCTGTTTGCACGGAGGGACGTGGGAGTGGCAGTCCCTCCCGTCCCCAGGCGCAGGAAGGACAGTTGAACAGGGGGAACACTGAACGGTTTTCAGTGGGGCGCTCTCGGGCTCCACCATTTTGGAAGGTATAAAGTTTCCCTAGCACTTCCATGTATAGTCGAGCGATCGCTAGCTGTCTCTGCGGAGAAACACTCCTACCATCCACCGAGACAACTCGCATGGCATCAGAGACTAGGCGCCAGGGTCAGAGGTGGTCATGGTGAGAGGGCATCCCTTGGGCTGAGGCACCAGAAGTCTGCCCAGTGGAATCAATATATTCCAACCACCAGAGGTTGACCATTTTAAGCGCAGGATGTGGTTTTCATCCATCTAGTCACGACAGAAGTCGTCTTCTTCAGGAATATGCTTAACAATGCAACATGTATAATTTTATATACAGCTTACAATAAGATTATTTTGTGCAAATCACCGAAGTCAAACTATTGTGACAAAAATGTAAATTGGAAAATTTCCAATTCAGATCAATATAAGTAATTTTATTGAGAGGAAGAGAGAAATTAGAGAATAGACAGACTCCTTGATTTTTTTATAATTGAGGAAGAAAAATGAACCATATAAACACATTGAAACTTTTCAAAATGTCTTACTGATGTGACATAAAATATTGGTATCTACAAAGGTAATCTAGAACTCATACCTTTACAAAAACTCGACAACAAACAGGTTAATGACTTTTAGTAACTTAAAGACTATATAAGGTTAGTTACTGCCTAAGAAAAATTGAAGTGCCCGGAAATCAGAGTTCACATAAGAACCTCACGACAAGTTTCCCCAAATTTAATAGAACTAAAAATTGACATTATTGCCAACAACAAATTGTGAAACTGCAATAACTTTTCTAAGCTTTCAATAATAAAAAATAAATGTTGACTAACTTTGCTTGAAGGGAATAGCACATTATTCATTCTCATCCTGTCAAATGACAAGGCAATAAAAAATGTAAAACTAAAAATATAGGAAAAACATAGCGATGGTTCAGGTTGTTAATTTAAAATACCATTTTACTGAATTTCTAAAATATTTGTGGTATTTATCTTTTTAAAAATCTCTAATTTGTTGTCATTGATTTTCTTATTCTAAGTAAATATTTACTTTGGTTTCCCCACCCCTCCACCCCCAGTCCGATTCCTGCCCTGCCTCAGTAACTCAAATAAAGAATTGGAGAATGTATTGAAAAAAAGCGGCAGTAGAAATAGAAACCTCAGTTAGAAGGATAATAATTTCTAATGTGTCTTACTACTTTTAAGTAGAGGTTTTATTTACATTTATGTTTTCATATTTTATTTAACTCTACTTTCACGGTACCTAGTACTAGACACACACACATCTATATACAAACTGGTTATTTGATCTCATGGTATGTGCTGTCTAGTAAGTGTGCAGATATGCAAACAGACAATTTCAGCTCAATAAGTTAATTGTTAAGATTAACCTGGGTGGTGCCACTGAAAGCCTGGCAACTCAGAAAACTGAAGAGGCAGCATTATGTAATGTTTACCAAATGATTTCCTTACCAACCTCCTGCCAATAGTTGCCTTTTATTCATTTATTCCTCAAACATTTACAAAGCATTTTTTGAAGGATACACTAACAAACATACAACAGAGACACTCATAATTACTATGGAAATGTGTTAAAATATTTTAATGATTTTAGCACTAGGGGCTGGTTTCTTGGAAGACTGGAAGGGCAGGGGATAGTTTGGGGATGAAACTGTTCCACCTCAGATCATCAGGCATTAGATTCTCATAAAGAGCACATGACCTAGATCCCTCACATGTGCAGTTTTCAATAGGTTTCTCACTCCTGTGGGCCACTGTTGACCTGACAGGAGGCAGAGCTCAGGCAGTAATGCCAGCAATGGGATGGGGCTGTAAATTGAGATGAAGCTTCAGTCACTCACCTGCCGCTCACTTCCTGTTATGTGGCCCGTTTCCTAACAGGCCAGTGACCAGTACCAGTCTGGGGTTAGTGGGAGGGCGGTGGTTAAGAACCCCTCTGTTAAAAGATATAATAATGACTTAGTTTTATTCAGCTCAGTTCAGCTCAGTAAAAAAGTTGTGAAGACCTAAGTTTATGTGCTAGGAACTGAGGATACAAAGACAAACTGAAATACGACGAGAATGGCTGAGGCACAATTAGCAAGAAGAGAACACTAGCTTAATAATAGTGCCTATATATGAAATAGAAGATAGTATATGTAGTAGAAGTGTTTATGTGGAATAAAAGAAATACTACATGGAAAGGCATAATTCTGTTGAAGAGGCATCATGAAAGGGTTTCGCACGGGAGGTAATGGCTGGGTAGGATTTTTTAAGGATAAAACATTTACCCACCTTAGAAAAGGGTATTCCTTGCAGGTGAAAGAACAAGCCCATAGATACACAGGAATAAAGCAACAGCCAATACAAGAAAACATCAGTAATTTAGTACTGCAGAAACACAAATACAAGAGACTGCCTGGTAGTAGCTTGATATTAGGCTAACAAAAGATAAAGTGTCTTTTATCTGCTTTATAACGATATGGGAGACACTGAAGGATTTTAGTTTGGGTTTGATGGTATTCTACGACCATTTGGAAAAAAAAATTACTTAAATGACAACGTTAAAAATGGATTGGGAAGCAGAGTAGACATCAGCAAGACAAGAAGAGAGGCAGAGGAATCAGTTCAGAGGTTTACAGTAATCCAGGCAATGTTTATTGCGAGCCATAAGTAAAGGTAGATAGTGACCACAAAGAAGGAAAAGTACGATCGGGTGTGGTGGCTCATGCCTGTAATCCCAGCACTTTGGGAGGCTGAGGCAGGTGGATAATGAGGTCAGGAGTTCAAGACCAGCGTGGCCAAGATGGTGAAACCTCATCTTTACTAAAAATATGAAAATTAGCTGGGCATGGTGGCAGGCACCTGTAATCCCAGCTACTCGGGAGGCTGAGGCAGAGAATCGAAGTTGGGAGGAGGAGGTTGCAGTGAGCTGAGATGGGAGACAGCACCACTGCACTCAGCCTGGGTAACAGAGCGAGACTCCTTCTCAAAAGGAAAAAGAAAGAAAGAGAAATAAAGAAAGAAAGAAAGAACACATAGCTGAGAGAATAAGGAAAACTTAAAACAGTTCAGAGAGTGTGAGAATGAGAAGTGGAAAATAGTGATGCCAGTTATTGACTTGGCCACTCAGAGTGATATAGAAAACAACGCAAAGGTACTGTGATTTGTCTGGGGAGGCACAAGAGAATGGCATCTAGATTGTAGGTGAAAGGAAGGGACAAAAGCAAGATTAGGTGAAGTAGAGATCATCCAGTTTAAGTGGAAGGGGTCTACTGGAAAGCAGCAGGACTTTGAAGTTTTGAGATAGCATTTCTGGAGAATGTTCACCTGAAATGGTTCAGGAGACAATTGAAGGTGAAAATCAGAAATTTATAAGGCCATTTACCTGTGAGGATGTGAGATTCACTGGCAAATAAAGGAGGGGATGATAAATTGAAGTAATAGTAAACCTGAAGTCCTCATTAGACTTGATGAAGAACTGTGAGTCCAGACTACAGTATTAGATAACCCATTCACATTGACATTTAATCAGTAGCATGTGATAAGAATGAAAACCAGGTACTGAAGTCTGCATTGGTGAGAAGGGAGTTAAAGGAGATCCGTGGATGGCAGATGGTAGATAAAGGGAAAATTGTAAAAGAAGGAGTGAGGCAGTTAGGAAGAAAGCAGAAAAAAACCATGGCCTTACACAAGCTAAGAAATTCTCCGTATTTCCTAAACTCTTGCTAGAGGCTTAATAACTAAAAAAAATTAATGCAGTTCCAAGATTATTTAAATGTCCAGTATCTTAAGCCAAAGGTATATCTGATGTGGAAATATCAGATACTGAGGCAAGGTTTTTCAGAAAAATTTATTGGAACATTGGGAACTTTTCCATAGCTTTATTTATCCTGCCATTATTACCTACACATCTGAACAGGCCACTCAAGGCATTCAAAAACTTCGTAAGAGCAATGTATGTGATCACTTCCTATTTAGTAAGTTACCTTAAATAACTCTTAGTTACAAAATTGAAAAGACTGTTAGATCAAAGACTCTAATTTACTATATTACAAACTAGACCCACTTCTTAAATCCTTAGCCTTACCTGATCCTTACTCTGTGAGGCTGTCCCCAAAAGAATACAGATAGGCTCTTTATTTTTCTGCTTTTAATCTAATACTCTACTTCAAGTTAAACACATGCATGTTTAGCAAAATATAAAGAGCACAGTATTTATTTAAATTTGTA